ACCTGAAGAATACAAAGAACCATAGCCAAATGCTACCTAATATTATTCCCAAGGCACATAACCATCAGATTCATTAAGGTCAATGAAAAAACAAATAAATAAACAAGAAAACTAACAAAAACCAAAGACGAAAATGTAAAAGCAGCTAGGGAGAACTGTCAGGTCACCTACAGAGAGAACACTATCAGGATGACAGCAGATCTTCAGCAGTAACCTTATAATACAGAAGTGATGTGGGTCTATTTTCAACATTCTTTTAAAACATTCCAAACAAGAAATTTTATATCCCACCAAACTAAGATTCATAAGTACAGAAGACATAAAATTTTTCTCCTACAAGAAAATGCTAAGGACCCACACTTCAGTTAGATTAGGCGTTCGAGACATCCTCAAGGGAATGCTGAACATGAATTTTAGAGAATGATACCTGCTACCACAAAAGCATACTTAAGTGCATAGCCAACAGGTGTTATAAAGCAGCTAGGAAAGCAAGTCCACATAACAACCAGCTAACAACACAATGACAGGATCAAAATCACACATATGAATACTAACCTGGAATGATACTAAGTGGCAGGCTGAATAAAAAGACGAAACTCTACCATGTTTTCAAGACACCCATGTCATATCCAGTGACATCCATAGCTAAAAAGTAAAAGAGCTGGGTAAGAGCCACCATGCAAATGCAAAACAAGAAGAGCAGGAAAGCAGATGTTAAACCAAAGAACATTGAGAAGGACAATGACGGTTATTACATAATAATAATGGTTGCAATCCACCACCATCCTAAATATACATACATCCAACATGGAGTACCCTGATTTGTAGAACAAGTGTTTGTCCTATGAAAAGACTAACAAAGAAATACTGAACTTAAACTCAGCCCTTGACAAACTGGACCTAATAGACATCTACAGAATGAACACTCTACCCAAGAAACAGAGAATAGACATTCTTCTCATCTGCACATAGAAGATAGTCTAAGATTGACTATCAGCTCATCTCAGTCATAAGGCAAGCCTCAGTAAATTCAAAAGAAACTGAAATTACATAAAGCACAATCTTGGACCATGCTGCAATAAAAATAGAAATCAATACCAAAAAAATCTCTCAAAATACACAATTACATGGAAATCATACAACTTGCACATGAATAACTCCTAGGTAAACATCAAAATTTAGGCAGAAATTAAGATAATTGTTTGAAAATAAATGAAAATAGAAAACACTTTCCCAAATCTCTGGGATACAGCCAAAGCAGGGTTAAGTAGAAAGTTTATAACCCTAAAAAAACCTTCATCAAGAAGTTAGAAAAATCTCAAATTAACAATCGAACTGCACCTAAAAGAACTGAGAAAGAGGGGAAAACAATTCCCAATTAGCAGAAGAAAATAACTAAAACTAAAGAAAAACTTAATGAAATTGAGATGCAAAAATCTATATAAAAGATTACTTAAACAAAACCAAGATTTTAGCCCTTGAAAATAAATAAATAAATAAATAAATAAATAAGATTGATAGACTGCTACCTAAATTAACAAAGAAAAAAAAGGGGGCTGGGCATGGTGGCTCACTTTTGTAATATCAATATTTTGGGAGGTTGGGTGGGGTGGATAACTAGAGGTCAGGAATTTGAGACCAGCCTGGTCAACAGAGTAAAATCTTGTCTTAATAAAAAACTAAAATAAAATAGCCAGGCATCGTGGTGCATGCCTGTATTACTAGCTATTTAGTAGGCCAAGGCATGAGAATTGCTTGAACCTGGGAGCTGAAGGTGTCAGTGATCCAAGATCATGCCACTGCACTGTATCCCAGGTGACAGAGGAAAAACTCTGTCTTAAAAAAAGAGAGAAAAAGGAAAGAAAGAGAAGATGCAAAGAAGCACAATCAAAACCACATAGGCAGTATTATGACTGATCCCACAGGAATACAAAAGATCCTCAGAGACTACTATGAACAACTCTATGGATACAAATTAGAAAATCTAGAGGAAACAGATAAATTTCCAGAAGCAGACAATCTCCCAAGACTAAATCAGGAAGAGATTAAAACTGTGAATAGGCCAAAATCTATGCCTGAAATTGATTAGGTAATAAAGAACCTACCAATAATTAAAAAAAAAAAAATTCTAAAGCAGACGGATCCATAGCTAAATTCTGCCAGATATTCAAAGAACTCATAAAATGCTACTAAAGTTATTCTGAAAAATTGAGGAGGGGGTCTTGTTTTTTTTTTTTTTTCATCTCATTGTATAAGGCCAGTGTCAGCCTGATACCAAAAACTGGCAGAGACACCACAACAACAAACACATCTGGCCAATATCCTTCATGAACACAGATACTCAACAAAGTATCAGTCAACTAGACTCCCCAGTGCATCAAAAAGCTAACACAACACAATCAAAGTAGGCTTTATTCCTAGAATGCAAAGCTGGTTCAACATATCAATCACTAAATGTGATCACTGCATAAATCGAATCAAAAGCCAAAACCAAAATTTAAAAAGTCTTCGATAAAATCAAACATCTCTTCATGACAAACTCAACAGACTAAGCACAAAAATAATGTACTCAAAATACTAAGAGTTTTTTACAACAAACCCATAGCCTATATCATACTGAATGGGCAGAAGCTCAAATTATTCAGTGCTATCCTTATCAAACTGCCAATGTCATTCTTCACAAAATTAGGAAAACACTCTTTTAAATTTCATGTGGAACAACAACAACAACCAAGAGCCAAATTAGTCAAAGCAATCATAAACAAAAGCAGCAATGCCAGTGATGTTACACTACCTGACTTCAAACTACATTAAAAAGCTGCAGTAGCAAAAACAACTTGGCACTGGTACAAAATCAGACACGGAGACCAAGAAAAGAGGTCAGAAAACCCACGTATAAAGCCACACACCTACAACTATCTAATCTTAGACAAGCCAATGAAACAGGCAATGGGGAAAGCCTTCTCTTTTCAATAAATGGTTCTAGGATAACTGGCTAGCCATATGTAGACGATTTAAGCTGGACCCCTACTTTTTACGATATACAAAAATTAACTCGAAATGAATTAAATATTTAAATGTAACACCTCAAACTATAAAAATCACGGGAAGATAACATTGGAAGTATTCTTTTGGACACTGAGAGCAACAAACATTTTTTGACTAAATGCCCCAAAGCAACTTTGGAACAAAAATAAAAATAGAAAATAGGGACCTAATTAAACTAAAGAATTTCTGCACAGCAAAGGAAACTGTCGATGGAGCAAACATACAACCTACTCAACGGGAGAAGGTATTTGCAAATTATGCGTCCAACAAAGGCTTCAGATCCAGAATCTAATAAACTTAAACAAATTAACAAGCACAAAACCAAAAACTCTGTTAGAAAATAGGTAAAAAGAAAATGAACAGATACTTCTCAAAAGAAGACATACAAGTGGCCAACAAGCATATTGAAAAATGCTCACCCACCTCAGCCACCCAATGTGCTGGAATTACAGGCATGAGCCACCCAGACTGGGTACAGTCAAGAGTTCGAGACCAGCCTGACCAATATAGATAAACAAATACAACCTGGGCATAGTGGCACATGCCTGTTAAGTCTAGCTACTTGGGAGGCTGAGGCAGGGGAATCACTTGAATCAGGGAAGTAGAGGTTGCAGTAAGCCAAAAGCATGCTATTGTACTAGATCCTGGGCAACAAGAATGAAATTCCATCTAAGACAGACAAACAAAACACAAAATTTAGCATCAGAAATTATTATAGAAATGCAAATCAAAACCACAATGAGTTACCATCCCACACCAGCAAAAATGGCTACTATTAAAAAATCAAAAAACAACACATGCTGGGTGAGGATGCTGAGAAAACGTTATATACTGCTGGTAGGAGTATAAGTTAGATCAGCCATTGTGGAAAGCAGTCTGAAAGTTTCTCAAAGAACATAAAACAGAGCTACTATTTCAACCCACCAATCCCATCCCTAGGTATATACCCAAAGGAATATCAATGATTCTACCACCAAGACATGCAGTCATATGTTCATTTCTGTTCTATTCATGACAGCAAAGACATGGAATCAACCCAGGTGACCATCAGTGGCACATCACGTAAAGTAAATGATTGATTTATTTTGTATGGTTGTCTAGTATTCCATGTATGTGCATGTGGAGTATTCCACAGCAATTCAAAAGAAATAAATGTTGTCCTTTTTAGCAACATAAATGCAGGTGGAGGTCGTTATCCTAAGCAAATCAACTCAGAAGAGAAAACCAAATACTGCATTTTCTCAATCATAAGTACACATGAACATTCAGCACACATGAACATAAGCACAGGAATAACAGACACTGTGAACCAATAGTGGGTGGAGGGAAAGACAAAATGGACTAAAAACAAAACAAAACAAAACAAAACAAAACAAAACAAAAACCAAAAACCTACCTATCGGGTACTATGCTTACTACTTCGGGTGATGGGATCCACACTCCAAACCACAGCATTTCCCAATATTTCCATTAACAACCCCACACATGAATTCCCTGTATCTAAGGTAAAAATTTAATATAAAAGATACAGAACTATTTGCCTGGTGACTTTTATAAAATTTTATAGTCTTAGGCACGTTCTAATTTTCACACAGTTTCCATTTCAATTAAAATCAATGCTATTTACAAAAGGCAAATTATAATAAATATATGTTTTATATAACAACTTATTCCACCACCTCATATCTCAATATTATATCAAGCTTAATTTACCTCTTCGGGGTCAATAAAATAAATTGATGCTAACTTCTATGCATACTAAATTCCATAGGTTCCAGTGACATCCTTTTATACACTGCTAACCAAATAAATTCATAGAAATTTGATCTTAAAAAAAATTTAGTGCATCTGTAATTTCAGATTATATATATTAACTTACCAATTTCTGTTATATTATTATGCCCTCCCAACCTTTGTCTACCTGATTTTCAACATCAAATAACTCAACTTACCTCTACCTGAAGGCAATTCTTTTATAGTGAGAGTGACATATATCTGAAAAACTAATTGTGGAGCAGAAGAAACAAAAGCCTGAACAACTCTCATGCATTTGAATGCATTGTCTTGCCTTAAAATACACTGACTTGAGTAAACAATCTTCCTTTGCAGTATCTTATTTCTCTCTGGGTTGCTATCTTGACTCTCTTCCGCCTCCAGTGTAAGATATTTCAATAATTTGTGGTAGTGTATAGTGGTCTGCAAACACCTGTTAATATGAAGTAACATCGAGATTAACATTTTCTAGTGACAAATGTGTAGAAATATTTGAAAGATTATCAGTAGATGAACGCTTAATTTTGAAATAAACCATTAAATTACACACATTAACTTAATCACACTGAATAAAACATAACTTTCTAACAGTTTCTAATCTTATCATTTATTTTAGTTCTTCCCCTCATTTTCAACTTGAAATAATATGCAACTTCCGCCTGATAAAAGGATCCAAACAACAGATTAAAAAGCAAAAGGTAAAGATTCTTTCATTCATACACAAGTCAATTCATTTTTTCAAAATCACTTTGATTAAATAATATCCTAGTCTTTTACTAATGCATTTATATTCTGACCCATACAAAAGCTATTTCTCTTAAAATATACTTAAGAACATCGATGTTTTTAAACGTTCTTTCAATGATACAAATTTCAACTTCCTCAGACAAACCCAAAATTTCACTGGAATATATTTTGATTTATGATTTTTTACTAGTGATGGAATTTTGTTCACATATCATCATTATAAGAATGTAGTCGTATAAAACACCAATGAGTACTTAAAGCGGTTTTATGTACATGACAAAAACAAACACAAATAGTATCTGTAATGAAGTTTAACTGCAAAGTTGTCCCAAAGAACTTCCACAGATAAAATTCAGTAGGAAATAAGCAGATCTTTATAAGAAATCGCAAAACACAAATAAAAGCAAGATAAGATGTCATGAATAAAATGTATAAACATGAACCCAGCATATTTCCTATTTAAAACTTATCAAGTCAAAATTATTAATTTTTGAACAAATAAAAAGTGCTTCAGAAGTATAAAAAAAGACAACTTCTCCATGATGAACAATTTTAAAAATACCAACAGAACCAATTACCAATTTCTTCATGATGAACAATTTTAAAAAGAACCAACAGAAGTTCTAGAAAATATATATATATATAAAATCACTGGCTGTATTAAATAGTTAAAAGGTAATTAGATAACTGAAAAACAAATTTTATAAAATTACCAAAAAAATGTAGCAAAGAGAAAAAAAGGAACTATAAGATGGAGATTATTGGGCAATTAAGAAGAGCGTGACAAAGCCTACACATCTGATCAAAATTTTAATAGAAGATAGGAACTGGCAGTATTTTAAAAATAATGACTGGAAGAATAATTTCAAGTTGTTACAATCATTACTTCTTAGCTTAAGTAAGTCTTATGTATCCTAAGCAGAAAAGACACATAAATAATAAAATTAAAATAAGTGTGGGCAAGTATGATGGCTTATGTCTGTAATCCCAGTACTCTGGGAGGAGAGTCAGGGCAGATCCTTTGAGCTGAGGAGTTAGAATTCTGCTTGGGAAACATGGTGAAACTCTGAAATACAAAAATTAGCTGGGTGTGGTGGTGCATGCCTGTAATTCCAGTTACTCAGCAGGCTGAGGTAGGAGGATCACTTGAGCCTGGGTGGCAGAATTTGCAGTAAGCTGGCAGAATTTGCAGTAAGGTGGCAGAATTCACACACCACTGCACTGCAACCTGCACAACAGAGCAAGATGCGATTTTCATAAATAAATAAGTTTAAGTTTTAAAATAACATAATGTATGCAAACAAAGTTACCTGTTCACAAGTTTAAGTGGTCATGTGTTTTAAAATAGTTACAACTAAAGCATAAGAACAAGAAATAAAAGCCATCAACCAAAAAAAAAAAAAAAAAAAAAAAAAAAAAGAGAGAGAGAGAGAGAGAAAAATATCCACATAGAACAAACAACAGAATAGGCTATTTGCACTTTTAGGAAAACTGATTTCAAGGAAAACCAAAAGCATCATCAGCAGTAATAAAGGTCAGCACAAAGTAATATTTTAATTTGTTAGAAAAACCTATTAATATAAGCTTCCATATACTCAATAACATGAAAAAAACGAACAAATCCAGCATAAATCTTAAAGAACAATATAAGGTCATAGACATCTTATGGTTTGGAGCCCATTTTCTGTTATAATACAACTACAGTTTTCAAAAAGGAATACATTTTTAAAATTTATGATAATTTATTAATGTAACCCTCTTCTTTAAAAAATTAATGTTTTTAATATCTCTGAAGTTGCCTCTGTCATTGCCTACTGTTTTACCTCTCTCTTACCACATAATCCAATGTCTATAACATATCATTTCATTAAACCCTATTAGCTAAGTCTTCCTTAGAAATTATTAAATGTATGATAAATTAAATAGGAGATTGTATCATTATAACTTTTAGATACTTTTGACCTTTAGGTACACACAATCATTTATTATCTCTACATTATTTTTGCTTCTGAAAATATGAAAAACAGTTTCTCTCCTATCCCTCATCTTCCATGATCTTATATGAGAAATTTTATTGGATTTTGGGGGAGGAAATATTGATAGATTCATCTACATCTCCAGAAGTACGAAGTAAAGTGCTGAGTATGAAGTTGCATTTAGATGCCTCCATAAAGTGTAAACATGAATATGAAATGAAAGAGATTTGATTGAATTGTCTTACCTTTACAAAGTAAAAGAAAGGAAGATAAGGAGTGAAAGAAGATAAATGAGGACATTTTTAGCTACAATATCTAATATTTAATCTTATTCAATAATTCATGTAAATCATTCTACACACTCATTAAGACATCAAAGGTGTCTTAAAACAACAAATGTATGCATCAGGCATAAATATAATAAAAATCTATTACAAATGCAGTAGCATGTTCAAAACCAGGACAAGATTAGGAGAATTTGCAGACCATCCTTTATGAACACAGCCAAAAAAAAAACCAACAAAAAACAAACAAAAAAAAAGCTCAACAACACACTAGAAAGCCAATCCAAGCAATACGTATAAGCGATAATACACAACAACCAACTGGGATGTATTCCTGCAACAAGAAGACACTTCTCAGGGGTATGTGAACCTGTGCAACTCCATCTTTAACAGGAGCTGGGTAAAATGAGTCTGAAACATAGGAGGCCGTAGTTCCAGATGGTTAAGGCATTCTAAGTTACAGAATAAAACAAAAGGTCAGCATAAAATTACAGGTCATAATGAACTTTTTAATAAAACAGGTTGCTGTGAAGGAGACAGCCACAATGCACAAAAACCAAAATGACAATAAAGGTGACTTCGGTCGTCCTCACTGCTGGACTCCCACCAGTGCCATGACAGTTTACAAATGCCATGAAACATCAGGAAATTACCTCATATGGTTTAAAAAGGGGAGGCATGCCAGGAATAATCCACCCCTTGTTTAGCATATCATCAAGAAATAACCAGAAAAATGAGCAACCTCTGTTTATGGAGTAGCCATTCTTTTATTTCTTTACTTTCTTAATAATCTTGCTTTCACTTTGCACTGTGGACTTGCCCTGAATTTTTTCTTGCACAAGATCCAAGAACCCTCTCTTGGAGTCTGGACGAGGATTAATTTCTTTTAACAGATTCAACATATAAAAATCAGTAAAATATATGTTAATAGAAAAATGGACAAAAATCACAGGATGATCTCAACAGGCAGACAAAATTATTTTGCAAAATCCAACACATATTAGAATAAAAACACTAAACAACCAATCCTTTCTCAGAATAGCAAAGTATACTTGTTAAGGAAAATGTAACAGCTAGAATAATATTCCACATAGAAGTGAGGACTACTAAGCTCTGATTTTCTTAATCTTGCCCAAATTCCTATGTAAGTTGCATGAGGAGTCATGTCCTAGAAACCATAAATTCTCATCACATGGAATTTATTTTTATTTTGACAACATTGTTTTATTTTAACTGGAATGTTTCCTTTCTGTCATTTCAGGTCTTTAGACAAGCTCACCCAATTGTCAACCAGAAAGTATTTAAATTTACCTAAAGCTTGAAATCCACTCCCCCACCACTCGCCCACCTTACTACTTTAAGTTGTCCAGGCTTTCTGGAGAAAATGAATGTATTTCTTAATGTATTTGATTGATATCTGATGCCTCCCTAAAATTTATAAAACCAATTTGCAGCCTGACCATATTGGGCACATGTTCTCGGGTCCTCTTGGGAATTGTTTATCATGGGCCATGGTTACTCATATTTAGCTCAGAATAATTATCTTCAAAATATTTTACAGAGTTTGACTCTTTTCATTGACAGACTGAACTTTTTCCCTTATATCAGAAATAAATGAAACATGTAAACGCATTTTTCAATATGGTACTGGAGGTTCTACCCAAGATAATTAGTTGTTAGGCTATGGGGGAAGAAATAAAAGAAAAACAAATTTAAAAAGGAGATGTGAAACTCCCTCTACTCAAGATGACATGACTTTATATATAGAATATCTGAAGAACTTCACACAAAAAAACATTAAGCTAGTAAATGGATTCAACAAGGTTTTGGTACACATCACCATATAAAAACCAGTTGTGTTTCTACATAACAGCAGTAAACAGTTTAAAATGATGCTTAAAAAACTTTATTTGTAAGAATCTTAAAAGGAAAATATTTAGAAATAATTTTAAGGAAGAAGTATAAGATTTGTACATTTAAAACTACCGAATATAAACAAAGAAAGTTAAACACCTAAGTAAATGGAAATGCATTACATGCCCATGGGTTGATAGACTTAATATTGTTAATATGACAGTGCTCCCCAAACTGATCTATAAAATCAATTTTTTCCATATCAAAATTCCAGTTGCCTTTATTGTTATTATTAATGTTTGGCAGAAACAAACAAGTGATCAGTTAGAAATGCAAAGGACTCCACATAGCCAAACAATTCTGCAAAAATAATAATACCAACTTAATTAATTTGTTAATTTATACTTTCTACTAAAAAACTTATTACAAAACATTAATCCTCAAGGCTGTCTGTTAATAAGGATAAATATCTAGATCAAGTGGATAAATCTTACAGTCCAAAATCTACACTTGTATTTACCAACAGATGATTTTCAACAAGGGTGCCAGGACCATTCAAAGAAGAAATGAAAGCCAAAATCACAAGGAGATTTTATTTATTCACATTAGGGCTATGATGTAAAAAATTAGAACCCTCAGTCACTGCTGATGGGAAGATAAGATATTGTAGCTACTTTTGGAAACAGTCCTACAGTTTCTGAAATGTCAGTTGGACAGTCTGACAGTTCCTCACTGGATTTGGAGACCAGCCTGGCCAGCCTTGTGAAACCCTCTCTCTACAAAAAATAAAATATGAGCTGGACATGGTGGCGGGTACCTATAATCCCAGCTACTTCAAAGGCTGAAATAGTAAAATCTCTTGAACCTGTTAGACAGCAGTTGCAGTGAGCGCTACCCAACTCCAGCCTGAACAAAAAAAATGAAACTTCATGTCACACACACACTAAAAGAAACTCAATTAGGCCAATTAAGCCATACTTTCCAATTTAGCTCACTTGAAAAAAATTACAATAGCTGACATCAGTTCAGATCATAATTCAAGACTCTATATATTTATGTATTTTAATTTATATGTTCATTTAGTTTATATATAAATACACATTTTCATTCGATAATTCAGATCACATTTTTGATGCAATCGTTAAGTTTTAAATCAATAACAAAACAGTTAACAATCTTTATACAATTTGAAATATCACTTAATCCCCATCTACCAAAAGAAATAAAACATAAAATAAAAATATACCTTACATACTATTAACCTAAAATGTAAACTCTATGATGCAAGAGTCCTAAAAATTATAAAAACTTCAATTAAAAAACACACAAACCACTTCAGAGATATTAATCTTAAAAAAATGAATTCCTATGTAGTTCATAAATACGAAGAATTGTTCTTGGAAATCATGTTAGTCTTTCCTAAATTTAACCTATAAATTTAATTTGATAAAATAAAATGTATCAATAGCTAGCTCTGAAATTCACATAGCAAAACAAGCATAAGATTACCTAAAACATACAGTGAAAAAAAGTTAAAAAAGAATTGACCTGCAAGATTTTGTGTTTATTCACATACACAGTAACTAAGATTTTAAACCTCTGACTAAGGCAAATTAATATAACAAAATAAACTCAGTTATGGTACTTTAATAGAAAAAGTAATTGTTTTAAGTTGAGATATTTTCAATCTGACCTTTAAATTATACAGCAAATAATTTTTAATTAATATTTGAAAACATAAATTACCTAATTCTGTTCTTACTCCTGCCTAAAATTAAATGATGTCACATAGTAAGTATACAGAACTAAAATATTAACTTATCTATATATGTATATATAGAGAAGTTGGTAAGATAAAAACTCTTGAACAATAGCAAAATTCTATTGTAATTTATTACAAAAACATTTTAAAATTTCAGAGAAAAACATTAAAACATTATGAACAGCTGACTGAAGAAATGTGTTTATGTTTAGCTGTCAAAATTATCAACCCACTTTGAATTTTATAAATCAAAAAGAAAGTTCACAAATGTCAAAACTGACTAAAAGAAAAAACAAAAATTAGAGGCCAGGCATGGTGGCTCATGCCTATAATCTCAGCACTAAAAGAGTTTATTTAATCATTAAAAAGGCAAATGCAAATATATATAAATTTATGCAAAAGTGTGAAGCCTTATTCTTTATGCAAATGATAATTAGTAACTCTTTTCATACATCTAGTTTGGAGGAAAATTAAACAGGCTATCACCACATAAATTATATCACTTCTTTGTGGTGACATTTAAGAGCACCTTTACGTTATCTATGGACGTTCTTATTTAAACACATACAAATATAATAGGGTTACAGAATTATTTATAATACAAAACTTTTTGCAACATAATTATCAGATGAGACATTAACTAAATTACAGTTTATTCACATATCAATGAAAATTGCTAATCTGAGAAGAAAAAGTTAAAAACTAATACTACAGAAAAAGTAAAAGATGATTACAGGAAGTTCTCATTCTATGTATGGAAAAGCTACAAACAGGCAAAATTGATACTATAATAGTGATACTGCCAGAGAAGTGAGTAAGAGACATTAACATATTTATTTATTAGATAAAATCAAGATCATTATAATTAACCTGGCCGTTTCTTATATCATTTGCATGTGGAACATATATAGAAATATAGATGTCATATGTAATTGCATAATTAAACTATTTATATACATTATACACTTCATAGCATGTCATATAATCTAGAACACCTAGAGAATGTTACATACCACACCAGAAAGTAAACCACACATAGAAATTTACATAATAAGGCCGGGTGCGGTGGCTTAAGCCTGTAATCCCAGCACTTTGGGAGGCCGAGGTGGGTGGATCACAAGGTCAAGAGATCGAGACCATCCTGGTCAACATGGTGAAACCCCGTCTCTACTAAAAATACAAAAAAAATTAGCTGGGCATGGTGGCTCGTGCCTGTAATCCCAGCTACTCAGGAGGCTGAGGCAGGAGAATTGCTTGAACCCAGGAGGCGGAGGTCGCGGTGAGCCGGGATTGCGCCATTGCACTCCAGCCTGGGTAACAAGAGCGAAACTCCGTCTCAAAAAAAAAAAAAAAAAAAAAAGAAATTTACATAATAAACACATTGCCATTATTGTCATTTACAATAAAGAAATATATTTTAAAGCCTTTTATATGGCTTTATGTAAATAGGCTTCTAAATAGTGCATGGTTCTGAGAGGAAATAAAAGCTTACTACTGACATTTTAAGTGACAACTAATAGATATCTCCATATCATATGGGAAAAAGAAAAGGCACATATACCATAATTTGGAAATCTTTATTTCTGCTTAGTAGAACATAGTTTTCCTGAGAGAATCTCTTTTGATAATAGAGTGAATAAGTTTAAATATTAAATATGCATTCTTAACAAGTATATTGCAAATATCCTGTTTCGAGCCAGGGAGAATTCACCATTCTTTTCACTGCACTGAACCATTCATAACCATTTTTATTTAGAATAACATAACACTATGACGGAAGAAGGCAGGATATGAAAGGATAGTAAAAAAAGAAATGAGTCATCAAAAGTGGGGGGGAAAGTGGAAGATGGAAAGAAAACGGTAAAGTTGATGTTGGAGATATTTTGAACAAATACTTTATTACTTAAAACTCATATTTCTTCGAATATTTTTTAAGGAAATGGGTAATCTAGTATCTTCCACTTACAGGCATATTTTTATAAATGATTTTTCTTTTCTTCTCATGTTGTTTACTGTAAGAAATTTTTTTTTTTCCCCCAGGGGCCATGGAGTCTTACTCTCTCACCCAGGCAGGAGTGCAGTGGTGTGATCTGAGCTCCCTGAAACCTCTGCTTCCTGGGTTCAACTGATTCTTCTGCCTCAGCCTCCCAAGTAGCTGGGATTACAGGCCCATGCCATCACAACCAGCTGATTTTTTATTTGTAGTAGAAACAGGGTTTCACTATGTTAGCCAGGGTGGTCTCAAAATTCTGACCTCTGGTGATCCACTTACCTCAGCCTCCCAAAGTGCTGGGATGAGAGGCATGAGCTGTCACACCCACTCTATTGCAAAAATTTTATCAAATATTGATGAGCATCTTTAAATAGTAAAATTAGGTATGTTTTTACAACACTCAAATTACTAGTTTTAATACTGTCAGGGGTTTTATTTATTTATTGAGTTTTGTGGCTGTCTTCATTTCTTGTGGTTTCTGCCTAAAGTCCTTTTCTTTCAGGAGATACAGTCAATTAAAGCTAAATTCGCTCCAGAGAATGGCACAAAATCACTTCATGAACTGTCACTGGGATTAACTCTTTGGCCCTGCAGGAGTGTTTATTGTCCTCCTCTTGTTGCTAATTCTTTGTATGGAAGATTAGACTTTGATGTTTCGAATTTTCGCATGTTTGTAAACCACTCTGCATTTTGTGCATTTACAGAATAAATATATATAAATAAATATATTCAGAGTATACATATATACAGAGTCTTACTCTGTTGCCCTGGCTAGAATGCAGTGACATAATTTTGGCTCACTGATCTCTTTACCTCCTGAGATCAAGGAATTCTCTGCCTCAGCCTCCTGAGTAGCTGAGTTATCATTAAAGGCACCTGCCATCATTCCCAGCTAACTTTTCTATGTGTAGTAGAGATGGGGTTGCACCATCTTGGCCAGGCTGGTCTCAAACTCCTGACCTCATGATCCACATACCTTGGCCTCCCAAAGTGCTGGTATTACAGGCACACATCACCACTTCCAGCTAATTTTGTATTTTACCTTTTTAATAAAGGGTAACACTTATCCCCAGTGACTCCAAATTCTGTAAAATATATATAATTGTATATACATGTTAGTCTCTTTGAACTATAAATACAGAACTGGCTCAAATTAGATCTTACAGAATTTATAGTATTAACACAAATCAGTGAAGTCACAAACAAAAGTGATGTGGAAATAAATTGCATAGCTACATTTTGGTATTCCAAGTGACAGCTACAAATTCAAGGATGTCTGGAGAATCTACCATTAAAAAGTTTAATCCCTTCAGTTGACAAAGTTTATGAGACTATTTTCAAGGCTTTCTCTCTTCTTATGCTACTCTTCTTTCTTAATTTAGGGTTACATATTTATCCCCCATAACTATTTAAAATGTCCATTAGGCTGAGCGAGAAAAAAAAAAAAAAAAAGACTGGTATACAATATGTGCATAAAAAGAACAGAAGAAATGACTGACTTATTTCCATTTGCATTTTATAAAATTAGTATTATCTTACAACCAATGACAATTACACAGTAACGCTTTCAAAATTGTGAAAACAAAATAAAACTAAATAGGGAAGCATTTCCATTAGAGAAACATTAATTATGACATCCTTAATCTTGTTAGCCAACTATTTATATTCAATTTACTCGCTGGAAACAGTGAATGAGAAATATTTGTGTCACTTACCTCACTATAGGTCCTAAAAGAAGAATGTGCCCAATAAGTAACACAACCTTATTTCCCCTCGAGTCTTTGTTGAAAAACAACAGGGTAATTTGATCAAAAAATGCTCCCGTAATAATAAGGCTGATGGTAAATGACATCCAGTATATGTCACCATTGTTCCGATAAAGAACAAACATATACAAAGCGGAGGCCACCTCACCACAGTAGAGAAGAGTTGACAAGAAAATGCTAAAAGGAAACCTTGGATGGGTTCTGCGGTCAAGGAAAACTTCTATTTCCAAAGATGAAACTCCTCCTGTACTTCCTTCATCAGTCTCTTCTAAAGGTGTCTCCATTCTCAGGGTTCTGCTAATTCAAACTCTTCTTGTCAGTGAATCCAGCAGAATTCAGTATACAATCCAAAAAGAAGAGAACGAGATTCCATATAATTCACTGCTCCTAGGAAATGTTAGGAACACATCCTAGGAAATGTTAAACACATAAATATGGATCACTAATCACAATAGAAAAATCTATGTCTGATTTAGGGACTATTCAACCAAAATCTCTAACTTAAGGTATTAAATCTTCAGAAAACATTGTTTTAAAGAAATAGACAATCAAACTTCTCTGAGGCATTTATCACCTCTTAACACCAAGAAGATAGTCCTATCTCCAAGTGGTATTAAAATATTCATTTCCCGTAAGTTTTCTTTTTGCGCCTTTTAGTCAATGTCTGCAGCTGACATCCACTAAAACAATGCAGCACAAAATCTAAGCCAAGTCTGCCCATGATGACACTACAAAAACTATCCAGGAGATATTCCAGATCAGGAAAGGAATACATAATAGTGACCCCTTTAACTTCCACTTATTTTTAATGTTGGTCATTTTGCATTTAAATTATGTGGGTTTTTTTTTTACTTGATTTAACTCTGAAGTTATTAATCAAGTCAAGTTTGAATTTAAAATAGATACAAAATTCAGACTTTGCATGGTAATAGTAAATTGAACCTCTTTGGTGGAGGAAAGAAGCTAATTTTAAGTTGTCTCTAGACAAACTGCCAGAAAAATTACTACTGTGAAGATCAACTGTTTATTATGTGTGGAAACAATATAAAACAAAATAATAAGGAAAATAAAAGGTAACAGTACTTTCAAATCAAGTAAACGTTAGAACAGAATTTTTAGACAGAATTATTTTTTCTGACTAAAAATGCTGTTAATATAATGAAAATGCACAAAATGAGTAATAACTAATGCAAATTTCAAGAGAGAAAAGATAATATTCCCATAGAAGATGTTGGCGGCGGCAGCGGGCCACCCAGGGGTACGCCCCGAGGGAGGAGGGAGCAGCAGAGACGGGGCAGGTGAGGCGGGGCCTCGGCCGGGAGGGAGGAGCGCTAGGAGGAAGAGGCCCGGCCGGGAGAGCCCCGGCCTCGGGAGAGAGCAGAGGGGGCCGAGCATTTCCTGGGGCATTCCCGGCCCGCCGGACTGACTCTCTCGGCCAAGGAAATTCCCGGCCAGCCCCGACCCCCAAGCCGCTGTGGACCCAGGTGAGGAACCCCGCGCACCCGCGTCAGCCCTGCGGCCTCCGTGGGGTCCGGGTAGCCCTCGGAACCTGGGCTGGCCAGGGCGGCGGGGCTGGGAGTGAGGCCCCCCCCCGCGCCCCCGCGGCGCGACCTCCGGGATCGCCCTGGCCCCAGCGTCCCCAGCTCCCGCCCCGGGCTCCGTCCCCGCACCCCTAAACCGCGCCCCGGAAAAGGTACCCACTGACCAGAAAATGCACACTGCAGCCCCCGCCAAGGGACAGCGCCAGACAGTACCCGCCACAGCGGGAGGTTGAACTGTCCCGAGAATAACTGCCAGTTCGCCAGTTGCCCGGCAGGAGAGAAAACCGCCAGCTCAGAAAGCGACAGTCGCTGGAGCCCGAACTCTCGGGGGAACAGCCGCCTTAATACATAGATGGCAGGTTTCCTCTCAGCTGCTTGGGAGGCTGAAGCAGGAGAATCACTTTGCTGTTTTCTTTCTTGTTTCTTTTTTCTTTTTTTTTTGAGACAGGGTCTCACTCTGTTGCCCAGGCTAGAGTGCAGTGGCACAATCTTAGCTCACTGCAACCTGGGCTCAAGCAATCCTCCCACCTCAGCCTCCTAAGTAGCTGGAACCACAGGCGAGTGGAACCACAAGCTATTTTTTGTAGAGACAGGGTTTCACCATGTTGCCCAGGCGAGTATCAAACTCCTAGTCTCAAGCAATTCACCCACCTCTGCCTCCCAAAGTGCTGGGATTACAGGTGTGAGCTACTGTGCACAGCCCACTTTGCTCTTTTTTTTTTTCCTCCCCTTTCAGCTTCCCCAGGTAGCTGGGATTACAGACATACACCACCACACTCAGCTAATTTTTGTATTATTAGCAGAGATGGGGTTTCACCATGTTGGCCAGGCTGGTCTCGAATTTCTGACCTCAACTGATCTACCCGCCTCTGCCTCCCAAAGTGTGGGGATTACAGGTGCCAACCACTGCAGCCAGCCCAATTTGTTCTTTTTCAAAATTGGCTTAGCTATTTGCGAACTTTTATTCTTCCATAGACCTTTTAGAAGCAAGATGGTATCTTTGAAAAAAAAAAAAAAAAAGGCCCACCTGGCTCCTGCCTTTAACCCCACCACCGAGGCGGGTGGATCACTTGAGGTCAGGAGTTTGAGACCAGCCTGACCAACATAGCGAAACCCGGTGTCTACTAAATATACAAAATTAGCTGCACACCGTGGCACATACCTGTAATCCCAGCTAGTTGGGAGGCTGAGGCAGGAGAATCGCTTAAACCGGGCAAGGCAGAGGATGCAGTGAGCCAAGATCATGCCATTATTCTCATCCTGGGCAACGAGCAAAACTGCATCTCAAAAAAAAAATCCAGCTGGAATTTTAATTTTTTTATTGGAATTGCAGAGAATTTTATTGGGATTGCATCGATCTAACTTGGGGAAGTTTGATTGCCTTGACATATTAATATCCATGTTTATTGTAACTCTTTATCTTTTACTAGATTTTGGAAATTTTCTTTTCGAAGATCTTGAGTGTTCTTTGTTTAATTTCTACATCTGTTACAGTTTTTATTTTTGTGAATGATATTTCTTTTGTTTATTCCTGATGTAGAGGACATAATACTGGTTTTCTTATGTGCAGCCTTTTTGTTGAATCCTGATATGAATCAATACTTTGTTGATTTTATTTGGTTTCTTATATAGATGATTAGTGTCATCTGCAAATATTGGTTTTTATGTGCAAATATGGTTTTAATGTCATCTGCAAATATGGTTTTATGTCCTCCTGCTAGTTCTTATGCCTGTGTCTTCTCTGTGATGTCGTGATCTAATCTCTTTTCTGGCCCAGCAGCCTAGCCCTGTACTCCATAGCGGAAGTAACAGCTTATAGGAGTGGGCTTCCTGGACAATTAGGTCTCATCCTAACAGGGGTTATACCTGAAACTCCTCCATTAAGTGTGGTGGTTGTTTGGTATCAGTTCAGGGTATGTAGCCTTTATTAAATTAAGACAGTATCCTTCTATTCCTTTTTTTCTACAAGTCTTTAATCATAAATAAATGTTGAATTTTTATTAAATGCTATTATTTATTTGTGAGATAATCTCATAACTTTTTTATCCTAATAATACACTGATAGACTCTCTGATAATGAATTATTCTTGAATTCTTCACCTAAACTTGTTTGATCATGTTATTTTTTAGTACATTATTAGATTGGGTTCAATTTTGGATTCACTTTTTTTTTTTTTTTTTTTTTTTTTTAAGACAGGGTCCTGATCTGTCACCCAGGCTGGAGTGCAGTACCATGATCACAGCTCACTCCAGCCTCAACCTCCTGGGCTCAGCTATCCTCCACTTCAGCCTCCTAAGAAGCTGGGACTTCCGGTGCATGCCGCCACACCCACCTAATTTTTTTTTTTTTTTTTTGCTTTTTTGTAGAGATGAGGTTTCACTATGTTAGAGACCAGCCCAGGCTGGGATTACAGGTGTGAGCCACTGAGCCCAGCAGGTTAGCTCTTTTTTAATGTAAGATTTTTCATCTTTATTCTTTGATAAATTACACTTATCATGTCTTTATCTAGTTTAAGCATCACTGTTATATTAGCCTCATAAAATGTTAGGTGGCTTTCTCTTTTTCTGCTTTTTCAAACAACTCGTGTAAGATAGACATTATCTAATCCTTCAAAATTTAGCACCAGTGCTGAGGCTTTGGAAGTGGTTGGGAAAGTCTTTGGTTACCATTTTAATTTCCTTAATGGTTATTGGACTATTAACATATACCATTTATATCTTTTTATATGTGTGACAATTTTTTTTTAACTTTCTAGTCAATTACATTAAATTTAGTATGTGTTTCTTTTTAAATGTGCTGCTGGTCTTGAACTCCTGGACTCAAGTGATCATGCCACCCTGGTTTCCCAGACCGCTGGGATTATACGTGTGAGCCATAGAACCCAGCAGATATATGTGGTTTGAAATAAATGATAATATATAAGTAAATGTTGTTAGGTAGCTGTTATTTTTAAAAAGCCATTTTCAACTATACATTTGAATGGATCTTAAGTCCAGATATTGTGACCCAGTATTTATTGTTATTGTTGTTGTAACTATTATTACTCACATTTACTACATTTCTTTCAAGCAGATGAGCCAGCTGACCGAAGCTGGCTGGAGCATCACGTGGTCCATCAGTACTGGACAGCCAGGCCCTCCCAGTTTTCTTATAGCTTACATTTGCACTCCAGTTTAGCTGCTATCTGGTAAGAAGCTAAAGTTTTCATTTAATGTGATAATAGAAAAAACTTTGATGTTTAAACATTTGGCTTTGATTTGTGACTTCAGTTCCTCTCTGAAATTTAAATTTGTTTTGGTTTTGACAATTTCTTTTTTGAACAGAGTCTTACTCTAGTTGCCCAGGCTGCAATGCAGTGGTGATATCTCTCTTCACCTCACCCAACCAATTTTTTATTTTTTATTTATTGATTCTTGGTGGGGGGTAGAGAAAGTCTCACTCTGTCACCCTGGCTGGAGTGCAGTGGCATAATCGTGGCTTACTGGAGCCTCTGCCTCCCTGGTTCCAGCAGTTCTCATGCTTAAGCCTCCCAGGTAGCTGGGATTATAGGCACACATCACCACACCCAGCTAATTTTTCTATTTTTAGTAGAGATGGGGTTTCACTATGTTGACCAGGCTGGTCTCAAACTCCTGTCCACAAGTGATCCACCTGCCTTGGCCTCCCTAAGTGCTGGAATTACAAGCGTAAGCCAGCACACCTGGCCAGTGTTGAAAATTCTAGTTGAATGTTTTTTGATTATTTAATTGTTAAAAATCATAAAATTACAGTATTATTTAATTATAATCTGTATTTCAATTTTTTTGTTAATTTCAAGGTAAATGGATTGGTACATATTAGGGCATTATTTGATTTCTGTTTTGGTATACTTACTATAAAAATAGACATATTGTTTTCCAGAAAACAGCATCACATAGTTGTAAACATTTGCCTAAATCAGCAATAAACATAACAATTGCAGTTGTTCTGAAAGTGTTTCTCAGGATTTTGAGTAATGTGAAAATATAGGGGGCATTTAAGCCATTTATTAAGTGTACTTGCTAATTCATAGCCAGTAAGGTTAGCACTAAATTGCAAATATTCTTTGAAATTAGTTATTTACTTACTTAGAAACCTTTCTGTTGGCGTTTATCTCTGCTGTCTCATAGGGACCATCACTTGTACAGCAGTGATCCATTGTATGTTCCAGATGACAGGATTTTGGTTACCAAGACTCAAGTTATTCTGGAAACCCTGTGGTAAGATATATTCACTTAATTAATAGTTTTTATTTATGATGCTTGATTACCGAGAAGCAGAACTTTTATTAAAGGAAACTATTAAAGCATTTTCACATGCAAATTAGAAATAGACCATTAGGTGTAAAGTTAAAAGACCAGATTTGACTGTGGAGATTGAGAGATTTTGACATATTTACTTCATTTTTATTTTAAATTGTTTAGCATATGATTTACTTAGATTAGTCCATCACTTCTTTAACACTTGAGTTCAAAGCAAGGTTTACTACTATTCTTAATAGGCAGAGAGTGTCAGTGAGGGCCTGCGCCTCTATCTGGAAGCCAGAAATCTAATGCAGCATGTGGTGCTGTTACTCCTAAAATTCCAGGTCCCGGTGCTCTCACTATGAAGTATGATATTGACATGCTGGCATTCTTAGAAATAGGAAGATCTCTTTGGGTCATCCAGTATATGGGGGAGATGCTTTGACAATATGTCTTGGACTTCTCTCTAAGACGATGTTGAAATATCTTGAGACGTAAGGTAATCAGATGAAAAGATTGATGTCTTCCATTTTCTTATTTTCTGACCTTGTTACCCCTTAATTCTGAATATTTAATAAAAATTTCCTGAAGTGGGGCATGGTGGCTAACACCTATAATCCCAGTGCTATGGGAGGCCAAGGCGGGTGGATCACTTGAGATCAGGAGTTCAAGACCAGCCTAGGCAACATGGTGAAACCCCCATCTCTAAAAAAAATACAAAAATTAGCCAGGCATGGTGACATTTACCTGTAGCCCCAGCCATTCAGGAGGCCCAGGCTGGAGAATCACTTGAACCCAGTAGGTTGAGGCTGCAGTGAGCTGTGATCGCTACTGCACTCCAGCTTGGGTGACAAAGTGAGACCCTGTAAAAAATATATATATATATATTTTTTTCTGGGCATACTGTCATGAATATTTTTCTAGACTTAAAATACACTCTTTTAAAAAATCTAATTTCAGGTTACTTTCAGGAGTGAAAAAGCTCTATATTTCAGCTGATAGATGGGAAAGTAACTGAGAAACAATATTATAGTAACTCCTTTAACACTTGTAAGTTATTTGTATTTATTGTTATTTAAGAAATAATAGGATTTATGTAAACTGTGGCAATATAATTTTAGAACATTTTACAGTATTAAAATTAACTATAATTGCACTCATTTGTGCTTCCTTACGCAAAAAAGATTAATTTAAAATTATTTAATATCCAGGCCAGGCACATTGGCTCACGCCTGTAATCCCAGCACTTTGGGAGGCCGAGGTGGGTAGATCATGAGGTCAGGAATTCGAGACCAGCCTGGCCAAGATGGTGAAACCCTGTCTCTACTAAAAAATATAAAAATTAGACAGGTGCAGTGGCCGGCACCTGTAATCCCAGCTACTCGGGAGGCTGAGGCAAGACAATCGCTTGAACTTGGGAGGCAGAGGTTGCAGTGAGCTGAGATCATGCCACTGCAGTCTAGCCTGGGCGACAGAGCAAGACTCCGTCTCAAAAATAAATAAATATTTAATATCCAAAAAGAAAAATTGAGTTGTGCATCTTTACAGTACTTAAGAGAATTCCTTAATATTGTTTGGGACATGTTTAATTTCAGTTTGCATTTTCTACTGTTTAGATCTGTCATTCTGTATTGTAAAAGCTATATACTGTAATTTTTTTTGCCTTAAGTAGATTACCTTATGTATATTTTTAAAAAATATAAGCCATAATTCTCTAGTCTATTGAAATTAATGCTCACTCTTTTTCCTTTGTGTATAAAACTATTCATCATTTTATGACTTTGTTTTCTACTAAACACACTGTTTAAAAGAATTGTAAAAGAAATATTTTACAGTGAGAGGGAAATGAATTTGAATGTTTACAGATCACCTTTGAATAATTGCACTTTGCTTCTGTCATAGAGCTGTTTACGATCTGTGCTGGAACAAATAGCAGCGTATGGCCAGGTTGTATTTCGACTCCAGGAGTTCATTGATGAAGTCATGGGACACAGTTCTGAAAGCATGCTGCCTGGAAGTGGGTCTGTTCCTAAGAAGTCACCTGAAGCTCCCTTTAGAACCTACCAGGCTTTCATGTGAGCCCTGTACATATACTTCATTGGTTTCAAAGAGGAACTTGCAGAAATTGAGAAGTGCATCATCAATAATGGTATTAAATGTTCTTCAGTTTTACTCATACTACACATAACTCATAATTGGAATGCCATTTAGATTTTTCATTAAGATTTCAAAGTTGCCTGGCAAATAAGTAGTTCTCTTGAATACTTCATTTTTAAGATTAAATTTGTATTTTTAACCCATTTAAATCTCTCAAAATCAAAAAATTACAGAGGATTTAGACTGAAAAATCTAAATTACTCTTCCTGCACCAGCTCCCCAGCCAGTCAGTTCCCCTCCCCAGAGACAGCCAGGTCCTCGGCTTCTTACACATCCTTCCAGAATGAGTTCAACACACACAAGCAGTGCATATACATACACCCATACCTAACAGTCATTACACTACTCTCTTCAAATATTTCTTTTTTTTTTTTTTTTTTTGACACAGAGTTTCGCTCTTGTTACCCAGGCTGGAGTGCAATGGCGCGATCTCGGCTCACCGCAACCTCCGCCTCCTGGGTTCAGGCAATTCTCCTGCCTCAGCCTCCTGAGTAGCGGGATTACAGGCACGTGCCACCATGCCCAGCTAATTTTTTGTATCTTTAGTAGAAACGGGGTTTCGCCATGTTGACCAGGATGGTCTCGATCTCTCGACCTTGTGATCCACCCGCCTCGGCCTCCCAAAGTGCTGGGATTACAGGCTTGAGCCACCGTGCCCGGCCCCAAATATTTCTAATTTAAATTTTGAGGATAATACCATTAAAATATGAAGAGCTTCTTGGTTTTTTATTTGTTTGTTGTTTTTTTCTGAGACTGAGTTTCACTCTGTTGCCCAGGCTGGAGTACAGTGGCGCTATCTCAGCTCACTGCAACCTCTGCCTCCTGGGTTCAAGCGATTCTCCTGCCTCAGCCTCCTGAGTAGCTGTGACTACAGGCACATGCCACCACACCCATCTAATTTTTTGTATTTTTAGTAGAGACAGGGTTTCACCATGTTGACCAGGCTGCTCTTGAACTCCTGGCCTCAGGTGATCTGCCCACCTTAGCTTCCCAAAATGCTGGTATTACAGGCACGAGCTGAGATTATACCACACCTGACCATGTAGGGTAGGTTCTTATAAATGGAATTGCCATGTGTGATTTTGCTGAGTTTTGCCACTTTATGGGGAGGTACAAGTAAATAAATGTGTACTCTTGTGAGCCATGTAGATGAATACCTGTTTCCTCACACTCTTGCCATCTGTGTGTTGTCAGATGTTTTGGTCCTCACCGTTACGGTAGATGTAAAATGGTAACCCATGTAGCTTTTTACCCTTCACTTTAAATTTGAACTACCACAGAAAATAATACAGAGAGGTCCTGTGTTCCCATTACTTTGCTTCCCCCAGTGGCAAAACCTCATGTAGTTAGAGTACATGATCAAAACTGGGAAGCTGACACTGGCACAGGCCACTAGCCCAGCCACAGACCTGACGCAGTTTACCAGTGTTGCTGGAACTTGCTTTGAACTCAGGGGTGGGTGTAGTATCTTCTTGTATAGTTCCAAGCTGTTTTATCACATGTCTAGCTCCACATGGTGACTTCCATGTTGAGGTCCCAGCTGTGCCATCGCCTCACAGGAGCTTGTGCAGCCCTCTGTAGGCACAGCCTCCCGCACTAACACTGGTCCATGGGGAGGTGTTTTGTTTTACCTAGTATGATTTTAATTTGCATTTTTTTATTATAAGTAAGGTCGAGTGAATTTGTTTGTTTTAGAACCACTCATCTTTCCTTTTCTGTGAACTGTCAGTTCCTTTATATGTTATTTTTCTGCTGAGTTATCTTTTTCTCCATGACTTGCAGGAGTTCTTCCTTAGGGAAGTTGGGTCCTTGTGATGTGAGATCAAAATCCACCATCCTTCATTTTGTCCTGGCTGCCCATAAACCTGATGATTTGCCAGCATTTATGTCACATTTTAGATGCATGTATTTTTCCTTGCTATTGAGTTTGATTTGTTGATATTTGCAGGTGCTACAATAACTCTTGCGATAGTGGTGGACAAGTTGTCACCTCAATTGGCTCAACTCAAGGTTCGCACAGAGTGTTCAGTACCAGAGTAGCAGAAGTTCCACCTGATACTCAAAATGTCTGGGCCTCTCACCTGCTCAATACCCTGTACAAGGCCATTCTCGAATATGACAATGTTGGAGAGGCCTCTGAGCAAACCGTATGTGAGACTTCTGCCTAAAGTGTGTGACTCCATTCTGCACAGCAGAGGGGTGGGAGACAGCTGCTCATGGTTCTGTGTTAATGATACTTGAATGGTGACTTGTTGGACAGTTCAGAGTTTTCAAATTAGCTTCCAAATTTGAGGCTGTAGGAAACTAGCTTTTCAGCTCTAATTGCCAAGATCCTCAGAAGGATGAGGCAAGGGCAAAGCAACATGTTTCTCGAGAAATACCTAGCTGATGTGTATAGACATTTATAATAATTCTTTCTTACATAAAAACTAAGTCTATTACATGAAGTATCTGAAGTAGTCATATTCACAGAAACAAAGTGGAATGGTGGTTACCAAGGACTGAGGAATAGGGAGCTGTTATTTAATGGGTACAGAATTTCAGTTTTATGACATGAAAAGTTGTGGAGATTTGTCACAACGATGTGAATGTACTTAAAACCTCTGAACTTAAAAATGGCAAGGGCAGGGCACAGTGGCTCATGCCTATAATCCCAACACTTTGGGAGGCCAAGGGGGGACTGCACTTAAGCCCAAGAGTTTGAGACTTGCCTGGCCAATATAGTGAGACCCTGTCCTAAAAAAAAAAAGTTAAATTAAAATTTGAAAAAGAAACAGGTAAGATGATAAATTTTATGTTATATATTTCATATTGTATTTAAAAAATACAAATCTAGGCCAGGCATAGTGGCTCATAGCTACTTAGGAGTTTGAGGTGAGAGGATCACTTGAGCCCAGGAATTTGAGACCAGCCTGGGCAGCATACTAAGACCCTGTCTCTACCAAAACTTTTAAAAGTAGCCAGGTGTGATGATGCCAGGAATTTGAGACCAGCCTGGACAACATGGTGAAACCCCGTCTCTACTAAAAATACAAAAATTAACCGAGTATGGTGGCGAACACCTATAGTCCCAGCTACTCAGGAGGCTGAGACAGGAGAATCACTTGAACCTAGGAGGTTGCAGTGAGCTTAGATCATGCCACTACACTCCAGCCTGGGTGATAGAGCAACACTCTGTCTCAAAAAAAAAGTAGCGAGCTGTGGAAAAGTAGCCATGCCTGTGATCCCAGTTACTCGAGAGGCTGAGGCAGGAAGATTGCTTGAGTGTGGATGGTCGACGCTCCAGTGAGCCATGTTTGCACCACTGCACTCAGCTTGGGTGACAGAGCAAGACCCTGTCTCAAACAATATATAGATTAAAAAATCTATCTAGAGGCTGTAATTTAGAATGCCACAGTTTTATTTGGGTATGTATATTACGTGTATTTTCTAGTTTGTTGGTATAAGTTTTTTTCTCACCAATTTAATATTGCATTTCAGTATAAAAGAGATTGATTTTCTCTCAGCACTGCCATTTTTGGTCCTCTGAGAGCTACTGGAATTAAGTAATTTCCTCACTTTTTTTTTTTTTGAGACGGAGTTTCACTCTTGTTATCCAGGCTGGAGTGCAATGGTGCGATCTCGACTCACCGCAACCTCCGCCTCCTGGGTTCAGGCAATTCTCCTGCCTCAGCCTCCTGAGTAGCTGGGATTACAGGCACAAGCCGCCGTGTCCAGCTAATTTTTTGTGTTTTTAGTAGAGACGGGGTTTCACCATGTTGACCAGGATGGTCTCAATCTCTTGACCTCGTGATCCACCCGCCTCAGCTTCCCAAAGTGCTGGGATTACAGGCTTGAGCCACTGCGCCCGGCCCTCAATTTCTCATTCAAAACATTCTTTTCCTGATTTTGTTGAATGTTTATTTGTACTCTCTTGTTTATCACTGAGTTCCCGTAAGATTTTAATTCTGAATTATTTTTCTGGCATTTCCTGTATTTCCTTATTGTAGTCTCTTACTGGAGAGTATTGTTTTTCTTGGGAGGTGTCATGTTTCTTTGCTTTTTCATGTTTGATGTATTCTACATTGATTTCTACACATCTGGTGAGAAAGTCACCTTTTCCAATTTTAAGGAGTACATTTTGTAGGGAAAGAGTTATCGACATGAATGGGTCTTGGAGTGTTGGTTCAGTGGAATGCATTGGCCTTGGTTCTGGATGAATGCAGTAGTGCAGTCTCCATGTACTTTCTACAGTTGTAAACCACTTCAGTGATGTTTCCAAGTACCTCAGTGACCTACACTGAGGGAGTTTGTGGCAACAGTGGCACAACTGGCCAGATGCGCTGGCTCACGCCTGTAATCCCAGCGCTGTGGGAGGCCAAGGCAGGTGGATCACTTGAGATCATGAGTTTGAGACCAGTCTGGCCAATGTGGTGAAACACCATCTCTACTAAAAGTACAAAAATTAGCTGGGTGTAGTGGTGCATGCCTGTAATCCCAGCTACCCAGGAGGCTGAGGTAGGAGAATCGCTTGAACCTGGGAGGTGGAGATCGTAGCAAGATGAGATAGCGCCACTGCACTCCAGCCTGGGGGACAGAGCAAGACTCGGTGTCCATGAATGAATGCATGAATGAATAGTACACAATGCTTGGCTGTGCTGGAAGGCCTGGGTTCTAGGTGGCTTTGCTCATGGGCACTTGCCCCTCTGTGCCTCATTTTCCTCATGCTGCCTGCCTACTTCCCAGAGTTGCTGCCAGGATCAAAGTGCTCCAGGTTTGAACAGTACCCTGCCTGGCATCTCTCACCCACCTTGGGAGGAAGGGTGAGTATCCAGACAATGAGAACTACCTGCAGGGATGCGGAAGAGGGAACACAACTTTCTCTTCCCAGCAGCTGGCTTCAGGGGAATGCAAAACTACTACACACAGAGAAAACCTGTGAGCCTTGACGCAGGCACAGGTGGGGATGAGTATAATTGAAGGCGACTTTGCATGTGAGCGTGTGCATTCCCAGAACAAGAGAGATGGAGGGTGCTTGCAGGGCATCTCCTCCAGGGCCTTCCTCTTAACAGACCAACACGCTGAGCCCCAGAGAGAGGATCTGTGAGCCCGAGTCAGAACCCACCTTCTGTGTTCCTCTGAAATTGAAATATAAATGTTTTCCTAGTTGGCGGCTTGCCTTTTTATACTACCGGTTGACGTAATGTTTTAAATGTTGATGAATGTCAAAACTAGTGACATTTTTGCATGTGTTTTCTTCCAACCTTAGAGAGTTTCTGCTAAGCTCTTTGTGTACACACACACACACACAGAGCTGGCTAGCACAGAGCTGTCAAAGGAAATTCATTCATCAGGACTCCATTTTTACTTGTTGGTTAATTGCTTTGTTCTTTTCAGGTTATCTTGTATGTTCTGTGAAAAGCTCCTGCATTTCAGAGTAGGAGATCAAGAACTATTAGTTGAGTGAATGAATGAATGAATGAATGATTGAAGCTGTGTATTTGATTTTTTTTTTTTAAGAGACACTCTGCAAATGCTGTCCTCCTTCCCATCAGTTGTTTCCTTTTGAACCAGCACTTACGGTCCAGGTTGTACTTATACCAAACTAATGATGCCTTTTCAGGATGGAGGTGTCAACCAGATTCTAGTGAAGAAATTTATGAATTGTTTCCCTGAAGTTGTAAGCAGGTAGATTTGGTTGTAATGACAGTACATGCATGTATGGTATATATTTGCATGTTAGCAAATGACTCTGTGACTTACCCACCTTTGAAACGTGCACAATGTGACTTATCCACTATGAAATCTGCACCTTTATCCTGTTAATATCTGTGCTAATGCAGCCGCGGCGGGGAGTTGGGGGGGGCAGGCAGGGGAGGTGGCTTGCACCTGTGATCCCAGCACTTTGGGAGACTGAGGTGGATGAATCCCTTGAGGTCAGGAGTTCAAGACCAGCCTGGCCAAATGGTGAAACCCTGTCTTTACTAAAAATACAAAAATTAGTCAGACATGGTGGCATGTGCCTGTAATCCTAGCTACTCTGGAGGCTGATGCAGGAGAATCACATCAACCTGAGGTTGTAGTGAGCTGAGATCATACCACTGCACTCCAGCCTGGGCAGCAGAGTGAGATTCTATCTCAAAAAAAAAAAAAAAAAAAAATCTGTATGGATGCAGCAACCACTTATGAATCTTTTCCCTAGCTTCTTCAGAGAAATAACCAGAGAGACCCCTACCTTCTTAAAAATCTCAGAATAAATAACTCCCCAGATAGATGGCCACTGCAAGGCCTGCAAGGCCCCTGTGGGCTGGAGATGGTGATATTACTTCCTTCTTAGAGATGAGCTCCTACCTGCAGTCCCCAGCCATGACATGGATACAATATTGCTGTGTGGTTCTCCAGTGGCCCCTGGTCCAAGCAGATGTCTTTTGCCTTGTTGGGAAGCTGCAAGAACAAACAAAACACGACCCATCAGAGCTCAGCTAGTGGGGGTGGGGATTCCTAGTCACTGCTCCACCATGCCTTGGTTCTGACTGTGATGGGAAGACCAAATGAGCTGCTAAGTGAGGACCAGGGCTCAAGTCTGTGCGGTGATCACCTCAGCAAGAAAGATCAAGTCTCAAGGTGGACGGCCTGGGTGCTCAGTCTCTTGACTGTGTCCTGGGCAGCTTGGACCCCACCCTCACGGCACCTCCATCCCCAACATGTCAGGCAATCTTAGGGAACTTCTGCATATAGGAGCACTGGTTACCTAGATCTCAAGCTTCTCAATGGCTTTTAAACTTCTAAGTGGGTTCTGAGCTCCTCAGTGGCTTGGAAAACCTGGTTATCCAGATTTTAGGCTTCTAAGTGGGCCTCAGCACCAACATTGATTTTAATAAACTAGGTAATCACAAGTTAGCTTCTCAAGTCATTATTTGCATAAAGGCATGAAGAACAGATGTGGTGGCTCACACCTGTAATCCCAGCACTTTGGAAGGCTGAGGCAGAAGGATCACTTGAGCCTAGGAGTTCAAGACCAATGTGGGCAACATAATGAGGCCCCATCTCTACAAAACCATTAAAACAAATTAACAGCTGGGCGTGGTGGCTCACGCCTGTAATCCCAGCACTTTTTGGGAGGCTGAGGTGGGTGGATCACTTGAGGTCAGGAGTTCAAGACCAGCCTGGCCAACATGGCGAAACCCTGTCTCTACTAAAAATACAAAAAATTAGCTGGGCATGGTGGTGCATGTCTGTAATCCAAGCTACTTGGGAGGCTGAGGCAGAATTCCTTGAACCCAGGAGGCGGAGGTTGCAGTGAGCCAAGATCTTGCCATTGCACTCCAGCCTAGGCAACAAAAGCAAAACTCTGTCTCAAACAACAAAACAAAACAAAAAAACAAAACAAATTAACCAGGAGTGGTGGCACACACTTGTAGTCCCAGCTACTCAGGAGGCTGAGATGGGAGGATTGCTTGAGCCCAGGAGTTCCAGGCTGCAGTGAGCTGTGATTGTACCACTTCACTCTAGCCTGGGTGACAGAGCAAGACCTATTTCTAAAAAAAGAAAAAATACCTAAATGCTTGCTACCATGAAACACTCTAACATATCTATTTATATATTCAGAAACATTTACTGATACCTATGCTGTGCTAAGCACTATTGTAGGTGTATGGAACGCACCCATGGAAGAAATAGACAAAAGTCTTCAAAGCAACCACACCCCTCAAACTAGGCATGTGTCTTTGGGAGCGTACAAGAACTGATCTAATTTGGATCTCTGGGTGCACTGTGTTCCATACGGGTATCCATCCCACCACCACCCTAGGGTAAAAGGCAATGGGTGGGTAAAAGGCAATGCTGCTGGACCTTTCATCTATACTCATTCCCCTCCTGATTATATTCTCCATGGAAACAAAGAGAAGAAAAGGCATTCTGTTCTTTGTGTACCCAGATTGTGTTTAGGCTCGCACAACTTGAGCAGATTTCTAAATCCTTTTTTTTCCTTTGAGTGGCAGGGTCTTGCTTTGTACTCCAGGCTACAGTATAGTAGTGTAATCATAGCTCACTGCAGCCTCCATCTCCTGGCCTCAAGCAATCCTCCCACCTCAGCCTCCCAAAGTGCTGGGATTACAGGTGTGAACTACTGAGCCTGGCCAAGAGTTCTTTACATATTAAGGATATGAATGTTTTAACAGAATATTTGCTTTACATCATGATTTGAGAGTGCCAGGCTTTTAAATTTTGTTCTAATATTTATGCAATCAAATCTATCATTCAGTAATTTAGTAACTATTTATTAAGGGCCTGGGAAGTGCCTGGCACTGTGCCAAATGTAATGAACAAAAATAACAGTCCCTGCCTTGAAGTAGTCCACCATCTACTGTAATGACTGAAATATGCTAAGGCCAACAAGGAGAACTATTTTTTTGAGACAGAGTCTCACTCTGTCACCAGGCTGGAGTGCAGTGGCATGATCTCGGCTCACTGCAACTTCTACCTCCTGGGTTCAAATGATTCTCATGCCTCAGTCTCCCAAATAGCTGAGATTACAGGCATGCACCACTACACCCGGCTAATTTTTGTATTTCTAGTAGAGACAGGGTTTCACCATGTTGGACAGGATGGAAGAAATAGACAAAAGTCCTCAAAGCAACAACACCCCTGAAACTAGGCAGATTTCTGAATCCTTTTTTTCTTTCAGTGACAGGGTCTTGCTTTGTACTCCAGGTCAGAGTGCAGTGGTGACCTTGTGCTTTCTTTATTTTTCTTTGGAAATATTTTATTTTGTTGTTTAAATCAAAATTTAAAAATCATGCCTTTAATCCCAGCACTTTGGGAGGCTGAGGTGGGTGTATCAATTGAGTTCAGGAGTTGGAGACCAGCCTGGCCAACATGGTGAAACCCCATCTATGTACCTATGATGCATTTGACAACAAAAATTTAGAAAGAGGTTGGGTGCAGTGGCTCATGTCTGTAATCCCAGCACTTTGGGAGGCTGAGGTGGGCAGACCACTTGTGGTCAGGAGTTCAAGATCATCCTGGCCAACATGATGAAACCCCCTCTAAAAATACAAAAATTAGTTGGGCATGGTGGCGGTGCCTGTAGTCCCAGCTACTTGGGAGGCTGATACAGGTGTATCATTTGAACCTGGGAGGTAGAGGTTGCAATGAGCGAAGAACGCACCATTGCACTCCAGCCTGGGTGACAGAGACTCCGTTTAAAAAAAAAATTAGAAAATATATTCATGTAATACATCATATTAACAGATAAAAGGATAAAAATCATTTGATAGAATTTGACACTCTAGGCTTTGTGCAATGGCTTACACCTGTAATCCCAGCCCTTTTCGAGGCCAATGTGGGAGGATCGCTGAAAGCTAGGAGTTTGAGACCAGCCTGGGCAACAAAGCAAGACCCTGTTTCTACAAAAATTAAAAAATTAGCCAGGTGTGAGACTCCTATAGTCCCAGTTTATCAGGAGGCTGAGGCAGGAGGATTGCTTGAGTCCAGCATCTACAGTGAGCCATGCTAACAGTCTCCAATCTGATAAAAAATAGACCTACCAAAATCCTATAACAGGTATCCAACTTAATTAGAAAAATTACCTTTAAAGAACTATCTTAGTCCATTTGATGTTGCTGTGACTGAATACCTGAGACTGGGTAATCTATAAAGAAAAGAGGCTTCTTTCTTACAGTTCTGGGGGCTGAGGGGTTCAAGGTTGAGGGGTTCTTTCTGGTCAGCCTCTGGTGATGGCCTTGTACTGTGTCATAACACGGGAGAAGACATCTTGGCCGAGGCGGGGGCACTGAGGGCCAAACTGGCTTTTTATACCAAACCCACCGTGGCAATAACTCACCCACTCCCATGATAACTCATTCAACCATTGGTTTATTTTTTTATTTTTGAGATGGAGTCGTGCTGTGTCACCCAGGCTAGAATGCAGCAGCATGATCTTGGCTCACTACAACCTCTGCCTCCCGGCACCTCTCCTGTATCAGCCTTCCCGAGTAGCTGGGATTACAGGTGCGCACCACGATTCCTAACTAATTTTTGTATTTTTAGTAGAAACGGGGTTTCCCCGTGTTGGCCAGCTTGGTTTAAAACTCCTGACCTCAGGGGTTCTGCCTGCTTTAGTCTTTCAAAGTGATGGGATTACAGGCATGAGCCACTGCACCTGGCCTCACATTTTTTTTTTCAATTATTTGCTAATCACCCCGTCTTTCTCTTCCTCCCTCCCTCCCTCCCTTCCTCTCTCTTTCTCTTTCTTTCTTCTTTTTTTTAATGGAGTCTTGCTCTTGGTACCCAGGCTGCAGTGCAATGGCACAATCTTGGCTCACTGCAACCTCCGCTTCTCAGGTTCAAGCGATTCTCCTGTCTCAGCCTCCTAAGTAACTGGGATTACAGGCACCTGCCACTACACCCAACCAATATTTTGTATTTTTAGTAGAGATGGGGTTTTGCTGTGTTGGCTGGGCTGATCTCAAACTCCTGACCTCAGGTGATCCACCTGCCCCAGCCTCCCAAAGTGCTGGGATTACAGGCACGAACCACTGTGCCCGGCCTCACCCCCAGTCTTTCATTACATGCTTGACATGTAATGGGAATGTGGTAATAATCATCCAATTCCATTTTCCTTGTATTGAGTTTTCCTGCCATACATCTCAAAAGGCTGAATCAACTCATTTGCCCACACATCTCCTTCCCAAGCCTCTGCTGGTGACAGTTTCAATGACCAGACTGTCACCTGTGCCAGGGACTGTGCTTCCTCTACCCCCGGGATGGTGCCCTCATTGTCAGCCAGTTGCCAAGAGATTTTGTTCCCAAGCCTCAGCTTACCATCTGCCTTCTCAGACCACTCCTGGTAGAAACTGTGAGGTCCTGCCTTGTTAGGAAGCAATCCTGAGATGGATTTTGAAGTGCAGAGATGGTGCCCCACGCTTATAATCCCAAGACTTTGGAAAGATTACTTGAGGCTAGGCGTTTGAGACCAGCCTGGGCAATACAGTGAGACCCCGTCTTAAAAAAAAAAAAATTACCTGGGCATAGCGGTGCACATGTAGTCCCAGTTACTCAGGAGACTGAGGCAGGAGAATCACTTGAGCCCGGAAGGTTGAGGCTGTAGCGAACTATGACTGTGCCACCTGGGCATGGGCAACAGAAAAAAGTCTCAAAAAAAGTACAAAAGCATTTTCAAGAAGTAACACGTGAAAAGAAAAGTATTTGTGAAGAGGAGCTATCAGGTGATGATGGAGATGATGATGATGATGCAAACCTGATGACATCCCTGGCAGCCCAGCAGAGAGCTCTGGAGCAAAGACTGCCTGTTAGAGGTGCTGGCATTGTGTGGAAATGGAGAAGCTGCCATGACTCAAATGTTACCACCTTGTTCATTCATTCATTGGCTGGAAGTCAGCGCAAGGAGAGCATGACTCAGCTCCAAGCTGAAGCAGACCCTGAAGGAATTTTGTTCCCAAGCCTCAGCTTACCATCTGCCTTCTCAGACCACTCCTGGTAGAAACTGTGAGGTCCTGCCTCATTAGGAAGCAATCCTGAGATGGATTATGAAGTGCAGAAATGGTGCCCCACGCTTATAATCCCGACTTTGGAAAGATTACTGAAAGGAGGCCATTGCTTCATTGTTTAGTAAGCTCCCAGTAGCTGAGGAGCAAGCACTTTGTTTTTTTTCTCCTTTTCTTTTATTCTCTTTTGAGACAAAGTCTTACTCTGTTACCCAGGCCGGAGTGGAGTGGCGCAATCACAGCTCACTGCAGCCTCTGACCTCCTGGGCTCAGGTGATCCTCCCACTTCAGCCTCCTGAGTATCTGGGACCACAGGCCTGCATCACCACACTTGGATAATTTTGTGTATTGTTTTGTACATGTGTGGTCTCACTGTGTTGCCCAGGCTGTTCTTGACCTCCGGGGCTCAAGCAATTCTGCCTCGGCCTCCCAAAGTGCTGGGATTACAGGCATGAGCCACTGCTCCCAGCCCAGGCAGGCCCTTCTAAAGACAACTGTCTCAGGTCTGCTGTTAAATGTTTTCTGTAGCCCACTCCACTGGCCCTCAGCCAAGGTATCTTTATGGCAAAACTATCATCTGTAGGACCCCACATAACAGGGTGGGGTGGAACTGCAAGACTGGCCTCAGCTATGCCCTCCAGGAGCCCTGAATTTAGCCAGTTAAAGCACATCCCAATAACCATAGAGGTCTAGCTTCAAAAGTGAGATCACTTCCTTTGTTTCTGTATGAATTGTTTTATCTGGTTCAAGACATTGATTCAGGCACAGCAAGTACAACTGGCCAGTAAGAGGAAGCTGATCTGAAAGGTGTTCAGGGCTGAGACAGTATCCTAATAATCAGGGAGCAATACACACAAAAAGTACAATCCCAGACTGGGTGCAGTGGCTCATGCCTGTGGTCCCAGCACTTTGGGAGGGTAAAGGCAGGAAGATCATTTGAACCCAGGAGTTCAAGACCAGCCTGGGTAACATAGAGAAACCCCATCTCTACAAAAAATGCAAAAAATAGCGAGGCATGGTGATGCACGCCTATAGTTCCAGCTCCATGGGAGGTTGAGGTGGGAGGATCACTTGAGGCCAGGAATTTGAAGCTGCAGTGAGCTGACATTGTACCACTGCACTCTAGCCTGAGTGACAGAGTGAGACCCTATCTCAAAAAAAAAAAAAAAAAAAAAAAAAAAAAAAAAAAAAAAAAAGAGGGCACACATGGTGTCCCTGAAGACGGAGAGTTTACAGTCTTTAGGGAACCCCAGGCAGGAAATGCCTTCATTAAAGGCTCAGGAGCCCCAATGTGCAGTCTTCCAGCCAGTCCTGAAGGTGCCAGACCAGTCCAAACAGGTCTGCTCAGTCCTTGCCGTCAGAGGGAATGCCCAAGGCAGTCAATTCCAGGCAGGTTTTGCATGTCCACAACAAGAGTGTCTGCCTGAGCAGTGTGGACAGCAACCCCAGGTGGGCATTCTGGTGGGATGTCCAGGATCTGGGTGGCCCCAGGGGGCAAGTGAGCAGGTGGAAGGACACGGGTCAAGTGGAAGGTCACAGTCAATTTGAATTCAAAGCAGTCCAGCAGCTTGGAAAGGCAAGACCGGGTGTTTCTTTTTATTTTTCTTTGGGAGGAGGGGAAAGCTTTCAGGAGTAGTTCTGAACGACAAAAGTCATTACTGCTCACCCCCAACTCTGGACCTCCCCAGATGCCAAGTTTGTGTTTCGGTTCTCTTTCAAACAGTAATTAATTTTTGGAGGCAGGGTCTCTCTCTGTCACCCAGGTTGGAGCACAGTGGCATGATCTGAGCTCACTGCAACCTCCACCTCCCAGGCTCAAGGGATCCTCCCACCCTAGCCTCCTAAGTAGCTGGGACTACGAGTGCCTGCCACCACACTTGGCTAATTTTTGCAATTTTTGTAGAGGTGGAGTTTTCCTGTGTTGCCCAAGCTGGTCTCAAACTCCCGAGTTCAAGAAATCTGCCTGCCTTGGCCTCCCAAAGTGCTCGGATTACAGGCGTGAACCACCACACCCTGACTGTGTTTTGGCTATTTAAAAATGTTTTATTGGCTGGGCATGGTGGCTCACACCTGTAATCCTAGCACTTTGGGAGGCCTAGGGAGGTGGTTGCCTGAAGTCAGGAGTTCAAGACCAGCCTGCCCAACATGGCAAAACACTGTCTCTACTAAATATACGAAAAGTTAGCCAGGCATGATGGTGCGTGACTGTAGTCCCAGCTACTCCAGCCTGGGCAACAGAGTGGGACTCTGTCTCAAAAAAAAAAAAAAAAAAAAAAAAAAAGTTTTATATATTTAAAAATAAATGGGGTTTCACTATTTATAGTGAAATATAAATGGGCTATTCACTATTTATAAATGGGCTGGACTTGAATTCCTGGGCTCAAGCAATCATTCTGCCTCCACCTTCAGAGTAGCTGGGACTACAAGCCTGTGCTAATGCACCTGGCTCTGTTTTTGTCTTTTTGTTACAAAATCAGTATGTCTCATTCTGTCATTATAACTTTAGATTTTTTCCCATTTTGATGGAGGTAAAATTCATACATGTATAATTCACTATTTTAGCCATTTAAAAATGTATACAATTCAGTGGTTTTGTTACATTCACAATGTTGTGCAACCATCACCACCAACTAGTTTTCAAATCACCCCAAACAAACCCTGTACTTGTGAGCATCGCCCTCCTCCTCCATCCACCTCTTCCTCCCTGGCAACCCCCAATCTATTTCCTGTCTCAACAGATTGGCCTATTCTGGGCAATTCATATAAATGGATTCATATAATATGCAGCCTCCTTTCATTTCACGTATTTTTAAGGTTCATCTGTATTGCAGCATGTATCAGTATTTATTTTTATTTATTTATTTATTTGAGATGGAATCTCTCTTTGTCACCCAGGCTGGAGTGCATTGGTACGATCCTGGCTCACTGAAACTGCCAGTTCCCGAGTTCAAGCGATTCTCTTGCCTCAGCCTCCTGAGTGGCTGGGATTACAGGCACCCACCACCATGCCCAGATAATTTTTTGTATTTTCAGTAGAGACTGGGTTTTACCATTTTGGCCAGGCTGGTCTCGAACTCCAGACCTCAGGCAATCCACCTGCCTCAGCCTCCCAAAGTGCTGTGATTAGAGGCATGAGCCACCATGCCCAGCCCAAACTTTTTTTTTTTTAATGTTGACTTTCAACTGCATGACCTGGTCTCAGCACTGTAGCTCAGAAGCCCCAGGAGGTCGGGTTCACACCCTTAGGGCTGGGACTTTCTGAGCCCTAAGGATGAGAATCTAAGTTCCAAGATGAGTGGAGGGCTTCCCTGAAGGGACCAAGGAAATCACTGTGGTAGAAACAATAGGAGGCAAGAGGTCAGTGGTGGGGAGGGGAGGGGAGGGGAGAGAGGGGCCTGGGGCTGGATCGGAGGGTTTTGGGTGGGAGGAGAAGAGAGGAGAGGGAAAAATTCTTCTCCAGGACGGGTGTTCCCCCATGCTCAAACCTGTGGGTTTCCCCTCAGTAGAGCAGGGTCCCTGAAAGCAGCAGCTGTCATAGGAAGATATGATGGAAGAAGCTTCTCCTAGTAGTTTCTAGAACCTGAAGATGAGAGCCTTTAATCGGACACAGGCATTCCCAGTATGCCAGGGAGGTACAAGCGCTTAGTTGGTTAATGAGGGGTCCCAGCCAATGGTCCCAGGCCCTGGAAGGCAGTCAGGCTGTCTTGCAAGAAGGGTGGTCTTGGACTAGGGTAGACAAACTTGCACAATCACACTGGAGTTGGTCAGATGGGCTCCATAGTGGCCAGCCCAGAACTCTGTATCCTGGCCCCAGTGTTTGAAAGACACAAAGCAGACACCCATCTTGATGTTGGAGAACACATGGGTGACCTATAGGCAGAGGAAGGGCCCAGCCCCATTATGCCACAGCCTCCTCGCCAAAGTTGATGTTAGGGCCTTCTGGCAGATGGTTATTTTCCAAGGATGGCTATAAAATCTCCTATGGGGCACATGTTCTTCTAGAATCTTGTAGAATCTTCCACTCCCCTCATCAAAAAGTGGAATCTGGGTGGTGCAGTGTGGCTCATGCCTGTAATCCAGCACTTTGGGAGGTGGAGGCAGGTGGCTCACTTGAGGCCAGGAGTTTGAGACCAGTCTGGCCAACATGGCAAAACCCCGTCTCTACCAAAAATAATAAAAAAAAAATAGCCAGGTGTGGTGGCACATGCCTGTAGTCCCAGCTACTCAGGAGGCTGAGGCAGGAGAATTACTTGAACCCAGGAGACGGAGGTTGTAGTGAGCTGAGATCATGCCACTGCACTCCAGCCTGGATGACAGAGTGAGACTCCATCTCAAAAAAAAAAAAGGTGGTGGGGAATCTAATTATCTTCCCCATGAATCTAGGTGGGTTTGCTTGTCACCAAGAATGTGGTGAAAATGATATGGAGTGACTTTTGCCAAGTGACTTCCAAGTCTAGGTCAGAAGAAGCAACGGAGCTTCTACCTGTTTCTCTAGAATCCTCTTCCCCAAGCAAACACATAAGCATTCTGACTGTGTGGGAGCCACCATGCTGTGAGGAAGCCCAAAGTAGCCCAAGCAGAGAGATCCCATGGAGAAGCTCTGAGACTAAATGAAAGAAGAGATGCTTCCCAGCCACCAACTGCTGCACACACACCACCCACCACCCTGCCCTGCAGCTCCAGACTTCATCAGAATGTCACTATCCGAACCTTGAGAGGCAGAAGCCAGAACCACCCAGGTGAGCCCACACAGAAACCACAAGAGGTAGTCAAAGGACTGTCATTGATTTTAGGCCACTAGGTTTTGGGGTGATTTGTTTAGCAGCAATAGGTCATCACAGGCCCCCAACATCCTTTCCCCAACCCCCATCAGAGACTCACGTGAAGGTAGACATTGTTGTTCCACCAGGGGATGGGATCAGGCACAGCAGAGAATTCATCTAGAACAGTCTGGTTGGCATCTAGAAGTTGGACAAGGAGTTGATACATACAGCCACTGTCGTGTTGGGCTCCCCACCTGTGGGAGGAGGGAGGCCTTGAAGGCTGGGCTTGCCACCCCATCTCTTTGGGTGTCTGCCTACCTAGTCCTTCCTGCCTTGTCCAAATGCCCTCCCCATGTACACAAATCCTCTAAAGGGACTCCTGGGAGGTGATCTCTGGACCCTTGAATGTGTTGTGTCAGACAGGACTATCTTTGATGGGGACCCAGGGGGTACTGGATAGTCTACCAATGTGATTTAGGGCAGGGGCTAGCCACACTCATAGAGATGGCCTCAGGGAGGGGGCTGGCCCCTCCAGAAAGACCCACAATGTGACTTACGGTGGGGGCTGGGAGTCAGGGAACATCAGTGGACCTGGATGCCAAGATTAACCACATGGGCCTTTGATCAATTCATCATGCCTATGTGATGAACCCAAGAAACACTCTGGACATGGAGGCTCAAGTGAACTCTGTTGGTCAACAAAATGCCATGCATCTTGTCACACATCAGTGCCAGCACGATAACATGTCCTGATGCCATGGCAGAAGGACAGCAGAAGCTCTGTGTCTGACATTTCCCCTGGATGCTACTCTATGCCCTTCTTTTCTTGGATGATTTTAATCTATCATTTCCCTGTAATAAACCGGAAGTGTTTAGTAGTTTTCTATGAGTTTTCCAATGAATTACTGAATTGTGAAGGTGGTTTTGGAAGTCCCCAAAAACTTGCAGTTGGTGGAGTTGTAGAGATGGGGTTTTGCCATGTCACCCAGGCTGGTCTTGAACTCCTGGACTCAGGCGATCTTCCCATCTGTGCCTCCCAGAGTGCTGGGATTACAGGCATAAGCCACCATACACAGCCAGATTTTGTTTTTAATTATCACTCATCAAATGACATAATATGTTTGTGTTGTTCTGACATACTGTTTCAGAAGTGAGGATGGTGTTAGGGATTCCATCCCTGAACTTTGTAGTGAGCTTGAAACTTCTCACAAATATTGATGCCTGGCCAGGCATGGTGGCTCACCCCTGTAATCCCAGCACTTTGGGAAGCTGAGGCGGATCACTTGAGATCAGGAGTTCAAGATCAGCTTTGCCAACATAGTGAAACCCCATCTCTACTAAAAATACAACAATTAGCCAGTCATGGTGGCAGGTGCCTATAATCCCATCTATTCAGTAGAGGCCCAGGCAGGAGAATTGCTTGAACACGGGAGGCTGAGGTTGCAGTGAGCCGAGATTGCTCCATTGCACTGTAGCCTGGGTGGCAGAGGGAGACCCTGTCTCAAAAACAAAAACCAAGCAAACAAACAAACAAAAAATATTGATGCCTGGCTCTCACACTCAGACACTCAGATTTAATTGGTATGAATGGTGCCTGAGCATTGTGTTTATGTGTGTTTTGACTGAGTCTTGCTCTGTCACCCAGGCTGGAGTGTAGTGGTGTGATCTTGGCTCACCACACCCTCCACTTCTTGTGTCCTGGTTCAAGCATTCTCCTGCCTCAGCGTCCTGAATAGCTGGGATTACAGGCATGTGCCACCACGCCCAGCTAATTTTTGTATTTTCAGTAGAGACGGGGTTTCACCATGTTGGCCAGGCTGGTCTTGAACTCCTGACCTTGTGATCCACCCGCCTTGGCCTCCCAAAGTGCTGGGATTATAGGCATAAGCCACTACACCTGGCCAGCATTGTGTGTTTTAAAAGCTACCTTTATGATGTGCAGCAAAATTTGGAAACCGCTGATTATTACAATCAAATAGTACACCATTGACCAAAACAACACAAATATGTTACAGAGTTTGATGAGTAATAATTAAAAACAAAATTCTGGCCAGGCATGGTGGCTCACAACTGTAATCCCAGAACTTTGGGAGGCAGAGGTGGGAGGATTGCTTGAGTCCAGGAGTTCAAGACCAGCTTGAGTGACATGGCAAAACCCATCTCTACAAAAAATATATGGCCAGGTGCGGTGGCTCACACCTGTAATCCCAGAACTTTGGGAGGTTGAGGCGAGCAGATCACCTAAGGTCAGGAGTTCGAGACCAGCCCGGGCAACATGGCAAAACTCTGTCTCTACTAAAAACACAAAAATTAGCCAGCCGTGGTGGTGCATGCCTGTAATCCCAGCTACTTGGGAGGCTGAGGCAGAAGAATCATTTGAACCCGGGAAGCGGAGGCTGCAGTGAGCTGAGATGGCACCATTGTACTCCTGCCTGGGCGACAAGTGAAACTCCATCTCAAAAGAAAAAACAAGAAAAAAAAACCACAAACATTTAAAAATTAGACAAGCATGGTGGTGGTACACTTGTAGTCCCAGTTACTCAGGAGGCTGAGGTAGGAGGATCGCTTGAGGCAAGGTGGTGGAGGTTGCAGTGAGCCGAGATCATGCCACTGTACTCCAGCCTGGGTGAAAGAGCAAGACTCTATCTCAAAAAAAAAAAAAAAAAAAAAAAAAAAAAAAAAAATTCTTATTGGAGATATATCTCTTAATGAGATGGAGTTTGGGGGCAAAGTTATAAATGTGAATTTGCTGGCCAGGTGCAGTTGCTCATGCCTGTAATCTCGGCACTTTGAGAGGCCAAGGTGGGTGGATCACCTGAGGTCAGCAGTTTGGGACCAGCCTGAACAACATGGTGAAACCCAATCTCTACTAAAAATACAAAAATCAGTGGGGTGTGGTGGTACACACCTGTAATCCCAGCTACTCAGGAGGCTGAGGCAGGAGAATCACTTGAACCCAGGAGGCAGAGGTTGCAGTGAGCTGAGATTGCACTGTTGCACCCAGCCTGGGCCACCAAGAGAGACTACCTCAAAAAAAAAAAAAAAAAAAAAATTTGCTAAAGATCAAAATTTCCAATGGCCATTTTGCCTGGTTCCCCAGTAGTCCTTACATCTGGGGACCACACACCACAGTGAGGGGCTTTTTTCCTGTAAAACTAGAGAAGGGGGATACTGAGAAAGAGACTAGGGAAGGAGAACCATATGATGCTTCCCACACAGATGTAATCTATAGCAGATTAATTTTATAATAGGGGGCAGATGGCTGTGGTGGACCTGGAATTTGACTCCCATAAAACCATCTGGGTCATAAATCCCCTGGAAAGTCTTCATGCACCCCAGATGCAAGATCATCACTAAAGGGACAAGCTCTGGAGTCTGTTGAGTCGGGGCCTTATGCCAGGTTCTGCCAAGCTCAGGCTGTATGGCCAGGGCAAGTCATCTGGCCCCCAACATTTTTCTTCCAGAGATGCAATCTTACTCTGTCACCCACACTGGAGAGCAATGGTGTCACCTCAGCTCACCGTAACCTCCATCTGCCATGTTCAAGAGATTCTCCTGCCTTGGCCTCTGGAGTAGCTGGGATTACAGGCACACACCACCATACCTGGCTAATTTTTTGTATTTTTAGTAGAGATGGATTTCACCATGTTGGTCAGGCTGGTCTTGAATACCTGACCTCAAGTGATCTGCCCACCTTGGCCTTCCAGAGTGCTGGGATTACAGGTATGAGCAACGGTGCCCAGCCTGTCATCTCCCCTTTCCTAACCTCTCAGTTTCCTGCAAAGCTCTGAATGATCTGAAGGCCTGAAATACACCTTCCCCCAGGATCGAGGTTCAAAAAAGATGCTCGCATTTATAAAGTACTTGTTATGTGCTTGCCATGTAATAATTGTCTTTGCAAGAGCCCTATCTTATAAACAGAGGAAACAGAGGTTATGCTGTGACATGCCCAAGGCCACAAAGCCACAGAGCTAGGGTTTGAATCTGGGAGGTCTGGCTCCAGAATCTAGGCTCTTAGCCAACTTTGCTATTTTCTCCTCCTAAGGCAAGGAACATCTCAATCATTCACAGACAAGACTGAGCTGGGCCCAAGGCCTCTGTATTGGATCTCATCTTCTGCTTTCCAATCTATATCCCTTTGGGCATGAGTAGAAAGGCTCAGGGTGTGTACTCTGCTAATTACAAAAACTGTGAGTGTGGCTGTCACTTCACCTCCCTGAACTTCAGTTTTTCTTTTTCTTTTTTTTCCGAGACTGAGTCTCACTGTCACCCAGGCTGGAGTGCAGTGGCACAATCTTGGCCCACCACAACCTCTGCCTCCTGGGTTCAAGCGATTCTCCTGCCTCAGCCTCCCAAGTATCTGAAACTACAGGTGCGCACTATCACACCTGGCTAATTTTTTTTTTGTATTTTTAGTAGAGACGAGGTTTCTATGTTGGCTGGGCTGGTCTCGATCTCCTGACCTCAAGTGATTTGCCTGCCTCAGCCTCCCAAAGTTCTGGGATTATAGGTGAGAGCCACCATGGCCGGCCTGAACTTCAGATTTTTTTTATCTATAAGGAGGGGTTAGGAGGCCTAAATTAAGTCACCCCTAAAATGGTCATGTGACATGAAGTCAGTGCTTAGCAAGGGGCTATTTTAATCATCACACTCACCAGTCAGAGACACAAATCTCAATCCTGCCACTATCCAGCAGTTCTGGCCACAGAGCTTCCTCCACTAGGTCCAAGATCTGCTTCTTGCAACACCAGCTGGGAATGGAGACAGGGTAATAAGAACAGGCAGGCCTTTCTCAGCAACTGGCCGTACCTTTGGATAGCAGGGGCATTCACCTGAATGAAGTCACGAAGCATGTCTGAGAAGGGGCCCCACGAACGGTTGTCCTGTTTTCCTCTACCACCCAGTCGTCCCCACCATGCTGCACCATACACTTTCGGAGGCCTTCTGTGACATAAAAAAAGGCTAGTACCCAAGTTCCAGTCCCCTGCCTTTAGGCTCCTAGTGAGACTCCGCCCCTAGCCCCTCCCATGGGCTCCTAGTGCAGCTGGCTTTCCCGGCCCTTCCCACTGAGGCCCTGCCCCCGTCCCCTCTCATCAGCTCACGGCAAAGCTCTGCTCCTCTGACCCGTCTCACCTATTTGCAGCAAAGCCCCGCGCCTCCAGCCCCTCTATCTGGCTCCCAGAGCTGCCTCCGCCCACAGGTTCCCAGTGAAGCCCTGCCCCACCAGCCCTGCACCCTGCCTACGAATGCTCCCTCGCCGCTCCGACTCCTCCCATCAGCTCCCAATGCTGCCTCGCCCCTGCTACTCCTCCCACCCGTCCCAGTGCGGCCCGGCCCCTCTACCGCTCCCAGCACCCTGGACCACCTCTTCTGGGATCCCACCTTGGCCGCAGGGGTTGCGAATAGGTAGCGTCCGATGGGTCTGAGCGCGCAGAAGCGGCCCAGCGGGCAGGGCCTTGTGTTGCGGGCGGGCGAGCTGCAGCAGCGCGCGGCCGGTGGCGCTGTGGTCCCGGGTCAAGATCAGCAGCCGCAGGGCCTGACTGTCCACCAGGTCTCGCCAGCCCTGGCACACTTGGCGGCAGCGCCCCAGCAGCGTGCGCGGGGGGACTTGGCTCAGCACCACCAAAAGCAGCTCCGGGGCATTTGGCTCAGGTCCAGCGCCCCTTCGGGTTCCGGTTCCGGCTCCGGCGCGCGGGGGGAACCGGGCAGCCAGGCACCTGGAGGCTGAGGCGCCCATGATGCCCCCGCCAGGCCCGGCTGTGGCTGCGGGTGAGGAAGGGTCAGGGCGTCAGGGACCAGCTGCCTCCGCCTGCCCTGCCTCTGCCAGTCGCATCCCTACCTTCACCACCCCTGGGCCCCGTTCCCAGGTACCCATCCCCCAGCCCGTCCTTGATAGCACTGATATCCCGGAGACCCCGCGGTCTGTGTGTATGTCCCGAATTGCATGCTATCAGCCCCCCTCGCCCCCACAAACACCCCAACCCAAGTCCTACCCCGGGGCCTGGCGGCGCTCCTCGCCGGGAAGCCGCAAGCTCCCCACACCCCTCTGCAAGCTTTTTACTCGCCGGCTCCTCCCCTCTTACTAGCCAGCTTGACCCACCCCTGCATCCTCCTTCTTACTGGCCAGCCCCTCCCACCTACTCCTTCCCGGTCTGGAGACCCAACCTGCTTCCCGCGATGGGGCCAGTCCCTCCGGGATCCAGGGGAGCCGTCCTCTCCAGCCCGCCTCTTGAAATGTTCCTAATTCGTTAGCGGCAGATGCCTGGCTCCTAACAACCGTTGTTATTTTGGTCCGGCTTCTGGGTGGGAGGCCTCATATCCGCTAACGCATTAAAAATTTTCCATCTCCTTTAAGGTCGGGCATGATTATCTTCGTTTCACAGGAGAAAACAGCCTCCGGCTGCTAAAAATGAGTGCCACAACCAATCATAACACTAGCCAACTTTTATGGACGGTTTTACTGCCATCCAGGATGGCAGCTCCATGAAGTAGGTGCCATTATGCCTCCACTTCACAGGTGAGAAAACAGACCGGCAGAGGCCAAGTGACTTGCCTATGACCACCGGCCAGTAAGGATTTGAATCCAGCCAGCCTAGCTCCAGAATTCCTGATTTCAGCTTCTACATCAGCTCTGTCCAATAAAAACACAATTGTGGCTGGGTGTGGAACACATGCCTGTAATCCCAGCACTTTTGGGGGCCAAGGCGAGTGGATCGCTTGAGATTAGGGGTTCAAGACCAGCCTGGCCAACATGGTGAAACCCATCTCCACTAAGAATACAAAAATTAGCTGGGTGCGGTGGCAGGTGCCTGCAATCCCAACTAATTTGGAGGCTCAGGCAGGAGAATCGCTTGAACCTGGGAGGCTGAGGTTGCAGTGAGCAGAGATTGTACCGCTGCACTCCAGCCTGTGCAAGAGAGTGAGACTCTGTCTCAATAAACAGAAAAAATAATTATGAAAGTTGATTATATGAATTGGATCCTTCTTGTCATACTCAACTAAAACAAAGTTGAGAGGCCAGGGGGAAAGAAACGCTCAGGGCAGATACCATTTGCCCCAAGAATGTGATTCTCTGCAGGGCTGGCTGTTAAAACTGCCAGGTGTAACCTGGAACCAGTCTAACTGGTACTGAAACAACCTGCTGTGACTCTAAGACTAGTTTTACCATCTGCTGTCACTTACCAATCAGAACTTGCCAGCTCCCCAAAACTATGAACTTTCTTGCAAAACAATACCTAACATTTCTGTTTCTTATTTAAAAAAAAAAAAAAAAAAAAAAAAAAAAAAAAAACCTCTAACCTCTTTGTTCTTTGAAAATACTGAAGACCACGTGGTCTGTGTGCATGCCTCAAATTTCAATTATTACTTTACAAATAAAACATATATATATATTTTTGAGACACAGCGAAGACTCTGTCTCCCAGGCTGGAGGTCAGTGGTGCGATCTCGGCTCACTGCAACCTCTGCCTCTTTGGTTCAAGCGATTCTCATGCCTCAGCCTCCCCAGTAGCTGAGATTACAGGTGTGCACCATCATGCAGGCTAATTTTTGTATTTTTAGTAGAGAGGGGGTTTCACCACGTTGGCCAGGCTGGTCTAAACTCCTGACCTCAGATGATCTGCCCGCCTTGGCCTCCCGAAGTATGGGGATCACAGGCGTGAGCCACTGCACCCAGCCCAAGTAAAACATTTTAAATTTTGAGATTTGTCTCTATACCTCTATATTTTATTTGGCTTTGCATAATGTGAGCCATATACATAATTTAAAACATCAACAAACAAAACCAGACATAGATTATTCCCCACAAAGAACTTAACCTTCTAGAGCAGGCATCCCCAAACTTTTTACACAGGGGGCCAGTTCACTGTCCCTCAGACCGTTGGAGGGCCGCCACATACTGTGCTCCTCTCACTGACCGCCAATGAAAGAGGTGCCCCTTCCTGAAGTGCGTCGGGGGACTGGATAAATGGCCTCAGGGGGCCGGATTCGGCCTGCAGGCCGTAGTTTGGGGATGGGACGCCTGTTCTAGAGGGGGAGACATGATAAACAGTTGCATAATGAGCAAATTACATAGTATCAAGGAAATAATTAAAAATAAAGCCTCCAGGTCAGGTACAATGGCTCAGGCCTGTAATCCCAGCACTTTGGGAGGCTGACAGGGGCAGATCATTTGAGGTCAGGAATTCAAGACCAGCTTGCCTAACATGGTGAAACCCTGTCTCTATTAAAAATACAAAAATTAGCCAGGCATGGTGGCACATGCCTGTGATCCCAGCTACTTGGGAAGCTGAGACATGAAAATCACTTCAACACAGGAGGCAGAAGTTGCAGTAAGCTGAGATCTCACCATCACGCTCCAGCCTAGGTGACAGAGTAAGATGCCATCTTAAATAAATAAATTAAATAAATAAAACCTCTTTTTGACCTTCTAAGAATTCTCTCCGCAAATGCAGAAAAGAATTAAATGGGGCCCAGCATGGAGGCTCACATCTGTAATCCCAGCACTTTGGGAGGCCGAGGCAGGAGGTTCCCTTGAGCCCAGGAGTTTGAGACCAGCCCTGGCAACACAGTGAGACCCTGTCTCTACAAAAAATTTAAAAAGTAGCTGCATATGGTGGTGTGCACTTGTAGTCTCAGCTACTTGGGAGGCTGAGGTCGGAAGATGGTTTGAGCCAGGGAGGTTGAGACAGCAGTGAGCGGTGATCATGCCACAGCAGTTCAGACACTGTCTAAAAAAAAAAAAAAAGAATGAAATGGTTGCATTAGTGCATACACATTAAACTAGCTTGTAATGTGCATCTGCCCTGATGAACAATGTGTGTTAGTGATTAGTGGGCCGGGCACAGTGGCTCATGCCTATAATCCCAGCACTTTGGGAGGCTGAGATGGGTGGATCACAAGATCAGGCATTTAAGACCAATCTGGCCAAGATGGTGAAATCCTGTCTCTACTAAAAATACAAAAATCAGCTTGATGTGATGGCAAGCAACTGTAATCCCAGCTACTCGGGAGGCTAAGGCTGGAGAATTGCTTGAACCTGAGAGGTGGAGGTTGCTGTGAGCTGAGATCATGCCACTGCACTCCAGCCTGGGCGACAGAGCAAGACTCTGTCTCAAAAAAAAAAAAAAAAAAAAAAAAAGTGATTACTGCTATGAAAAATTAGACCAGAGAAAGGAAATGGGGCATAATGAGGCTGGGTTGGGTGGATAGAAAAGGAGAACCTGAATTAGAAGAGACGGATGAACTATTATGCTGGTCTCATTTCTTCTCAATATGTATATTTTCATTTTTAAAATTTCATTTCAGCTGGGCGAGGTGGCTTATGCCTGTAATCCCAGCACTTTGGGAGGTCCAGGTGGGTGGATCACCTGAGGTCAAAAGTTCGAGACCAGCCTCACTGACATGTTAAAACCCAGTCTCTACTAAAAAGACCAAAAAAAAAAAAAATTAACCAGGTGTGGTGGTGTGTGTCTGTAATCCCATCTACTTGGGAGGCTGAGGCAGGAGAATTGCTTGAACCTGGAAGGCGGAGGTTGCAGTGAGTCAAGATCACACCATTGCACTCCAGCCTGGGCAACAAGAGCGAAAATATGTCTCAAAAAATTGCTTATATATATTTTTTGAGACTGGGTCTCTGTTATAGCTCAATTCAGCCTCAAACTGCTGGACTCAAGCAATCCTCCTGCCTTAGCCTCCTGAGTAGCTGGGACTAAAGATGTGTACCATCATGCCCAGCTAACTTCTTTCTATTTTTTTTTTTTTTTTTTTAAGGAAAGATAAGGTCTTGCTGTTGCCCAGGCTGGTCTCGAACTCCTGAGCTCAAGTGATCCTTCCTGCTTCTACCTCCCAAAGTGCTGGGATTATAGGCATGAGCCACTATGCTCACTAAAACTAATATGCTAGTTTCAATGTAATATGTAAGTAGTGGGAATCTTTTTGATAATGAGATACAATGACCTAACTCTATGATTTTTTTTTGAGACGTAGTCTTACTCTGTTGCCAGGCTGGAGTGCAGTGTTGTGATCTCAGCTCACTGCATCTTCCACATCCCAGGTTCAAGCAATTCTTCTGCCTCAGCCTCCCAGTAGCTGGGACTACAGGTGCACGCCACCACGTCCACGTAATTTTTATATTTTTAATAGAGACAGGGTTTCATCATGTTGGTCAGGATAGTTTCGATCTCTTGACTTCATGATCCACCCGGCTCGGCCTCCCAAAGTGCTGGGATTACAGGCATGAGCTGCTGCACCCAGCCATATATGAATTTTTAAGAACTTGTTAAGACAGAGTCTCACCTTGTCACCCAGGCTGGAGTGCAATGGATTGATCTGGAACTCCTGACCTCATGTACTCTGCTTGCCTCAGCCTCCCAAAGTGCTGGAATTACAGGCATGAACCACCACACCTGGCCTGAATTTTTTAACAGTTAAAGGGTTTTAAAAATTTAAATAGGTTGGTCAGGCACAGTGGCTCATGCCTGTAATCCCAGTACTTTGGGAGGCTGAGGCAGGTGGATCACCTGAGGTCAGGAGTTTGAGACCAGCCTGACCAACATGGTAAAACCCCCATCTCTACTTAAAAAGTTAGCTGAGTGTGGTGGCACACACCTGTTGTCCCAGCTGCTCAGGAGCCTGAGGCAGGAGAATTGCTTGAACCTGGTAGGCAGAGGTTGCAGTGAACCAAGATTGTGCCACTGTACTCCAGCCTGGGCAACAGAGTGAGACTTTGTCTGAAAAAAAAAAAAAAAAATTCAAGTAGGTGAAAAGAGCAGATACTGAAAAGTCAGTTTTCTTTTCCAGTACTCGCTCCTCCTCCCGAGAGGTAGACTCTTGGTCGCCACCCAAGGACACCACACCCAGATATACGTTCACCAACCCTTCTGAGGACTGCTACCTGAGACTTTATTTGCGAATAAGACCACCTCTGTTCTCAGTGCCGTTCTGCCCCTCACCCAACCTTAGCTTGTTACAATGATGGTCCAGACTCTCCTGGCCCCTATCTATTTCTGTAGCTCAAAATGCTATTTAAGCTTCAACCATCTGGTCCTTCTTTCGATCTCAGACTTTGTGGGGTTCCTGTGTGCGTGCACATAAGGGATTTGTGTGCCTTTTCTCCTGTGAATTTGTCTACTGTCAAGTTTATTTCAGAGACTTAAATTGTCAAGCCTTTGGAGAGGGTAGACAGAAAGTTTCGCTTGTCCCTTCACTTGTTAAA